GATGGCTACGTCCTGCAGCAAGGTGGGGGTCTCCGTGAGGGCTGCGGGGGGCCCGTGCAGACCAGGTCCCGACCTGCCCCCTCCTTCCAGGCATTGTCAAGTCGCCCCTGGCTGGGGATTTCATCTCTATGCAGTGCCGGGAGCTCTTTCAGGAGATGGCCATTGAGATCATCCCGCCCTACATGATCGCAGCCAAGGTGGGGCCTCATCACACAGACCCCGGTGGGGAGGGAAGCCAGGCCCCCAGAGAATGCTGGGGCTCATGTCACCCTCTCAGCATCCGGGCCGGACAGATGGACGGCGGCCAGGGCACTTAGCCAGCTGCTAGCGACATGTGATGCCACAGGTGGGCTCGGGCGCCCGGCTGGAGGCTGCCTTGCCCATAGGGTCTGTGCCACCTCGAGCTGGGTTCGGGGCAGAAGTGGCTCAGATGATAGAATGCTTGTATATGCTGGCACCCTGTCACCTGGGCCCCGTTGGGCATGGGCTTGGGAGGGGTCTGTCTCCCAGGAGTTCTGTCCCCCTTCTATCCCCCCCCAGACCCTCACCTGAGCTTCTTGGATCAGCAGTGTCAACTGCTGTCGGACCCCATGGACATGCCCGTCCACATTTGGGGGGCAGGCCCAGTCCCCCTATCTCTCTCCCATCTTGTGGAAGGGCCCCAGTGCCGGCAAGTGCTGGAAGTCCTGAGATGGTGCTCAAAGGCCGTGTCCCCACAGGAGCCTGTACGGGAAGGTGCCCCCCCAAACTGGAAGAAGAAGGAGAAGCTCCCCCAGGTCTCCAAGTCCTGGCATAACTACATGTGCAACGTGAGTCCTGGAGTGGTCTCCCCTGGCCCTGCCCTCCCCGCTCCTCCCCAAGGGCCTTGAGCAGGGGTGGGTTGGGGTGCTGAGCTCAGCCCCCCCACCCGTCTGGTTCTCAGGAGGTGATCCAGGACTTCCAGGCCTCTGTGTTGCAGGTGTCTGACTCCCCCTACGACGAGCAGTGAGTGGGGCCCGTGGGGGGGGGGGGCGCTCCGGGGGTGTCTGCTCCTCTGGGAGCACTGGGGGCAGAGTCTCTCCTCCCCACACAGGGTCGCGGCTCAGATGCCCACGGTGCACTATGAGATGCCCAATGGGTACAACACAGACTACGGTGCCGAGCGACTGCGCATCCCTGAGGGCCTGTTCGACCCCTCCAATGTCAAGGTCAGGTGCCAGAAGGGCTGAGGCGGGACCCCAGGAGTGTGGGAGGAGGGTCCCCGAGCAGGGCACAGAATGTCCAGGCCTGACTTCTGTCTCCGCAGGGGCTGTCCGGGAACACCATGCTCGGTGTGGGCCACGTGGTGACCACCAGCATTGGCATGTGTGACATCGACATCCGCCCGGTGAGAGGCTCCCACGCCCTCCCCCCGTCTGGGGGCGGCTCTCCCCTCCCTGCCTTGGGGGGCAGCTCCCACAGCTCCCTCCACCCCGAACGGTTCCCTTAGCCCCCCTCCCCGGCTCACCCCCTCCCTGCCCCAGGGCCTGTATGGCAGCGTCATCGTCACGGGTGGGAACACGCTGCTTCAGGGTTTCACCGACAGACTCAACCGGGAGCTTTCACAGAAGACCCCACCGGTAGGAGCCCCGCGGGGCCCAGGGCCACCCTCCTCCCAGTGTCCAGCTGCCTGGCGAGTCCTGAGGACCCCGTGTGCACCCACCCCTCTCCCCAGAGCATGCGGCTGAAGCTCATCGCCAGCAACAGCACCATGGAGCGCAAATTCAGCCCCTGGATCGGGGGCTCCATCCTGGCCTCGCTGGTGAGTGACAGGGTCACCCCCAGGCCTTCCTCTGCTGCTGGAGATGGGATGGGGAGTGAGCCAGGTTGGCCTGGGATGAGGTGGGACCCCACTCTCCCCAGCAGAGGGCAACCCTGAGGTGTGAGCTGACATGGTTCAGGTATGTTTGGGCACAATTGCAGGTGGAACTATGGGCACCAGGAGGCACCCAGACCCAGAGAGAGCAGAACAGGGGGGATGGAAGCGAGAAGAAGGGCAGGTTGGCTCCACGCTGGCATCTGGAAGGGGACAGATGGCTGACACAGTCCATCCTCCATGAACAAGGGACAGGCCAGAGCCAATTCATCACCAAGTTCCATGATCGCATGCCTTGGGGTTCCTTCAAAAGAGTCCACTCTAAGGGAGGGACCCGACAGGCAGAGATTGGGAGGACAGCTCTGGGGTACAGCAAAGGAGGTGCTGGGACAGTGGGGTGTGCCCAGCCAGGCCACAGGCAGCGAGCAGGCCGAACATGTGAGTCTAGGACAGACATAGGACATTCCTGGGCTGCAGAGGAGACACTTGTTGGGAAGGATGCAGCCCAGTTTGCAGAATCTGGTCACAGCTCAACCAGCTGAGTCCAACACGGGCTGGAGTGATAGGACACTGTGCAGGGTCATTGCCTTGCGTGCTCCTGATCCAAGTTTGATCCCCACCGTTCCATACCGTCCTGAGCACCTCCAGGAGTGATGCCTGAGAGCAGAGCCATAACTAAGCCCTGAACATTGCCAGGTGTGGCCCTCCCAAAATAAAACAGAAAAAAAATACCCACAAATGCTCCAGTAACTTAAAGAATGTCTAAACAGGGGCAGGGGAGATAGTGCAGTGGGAGGGCACTTGCCATGCACCTGGATTTGCTTCTGGCATCTCATATGGTCCCCCGAGAACTGCCAGAAGCAATTCCTGAGTGCAGAGCCCAGAGTAACCCATGAACATCACTGGGTGTGACCCCCCCCCCAAATAAAAGTCCAATGAAACAAGGGAATGAAGTTTGAGGACTACATATTTGGGAATACACGGTGCTCGGGACACCCAGAGGCCCTTCCCGGTGACTCTTGGCCCAGTGAGCCAGTAGTTCAGTGCAAGGGCCTGAGGATGCGAAGCCGATTGGACCCTGCAGAGCCTGGGGTTATACAACTAACTTTTGTGGTGCTAGGGATTGAACTGGAATCAGCCACATGCAAGGTGAGAGCCTTAAAACACGTTATTTCTCTGCCCCATCCCAAGACTTATTACTTACTCCAGTATAGTCACAATATTAACCTTCCATATGATCCGTATAAAAATTGACTTTTTTGGCAGGGAGCACACCCAGCAATGCTCAGGGGTTACTCCTTGCTCTGAACTCAGGGATCACTCCTGGTGGTACTTCTGGGGCCATATGCAGTGCCAGGATATCACCTGGTCACCTGGGTCAGCCTTTGCAAGGCAAGCACCTAACCCGTTGGTTTATCACTTGGGCCCCAAATTGACAAGCTGACACTCTTTTGACTGACCTCAGTCTTTTTATTTGTTTATTTTTTGGCTTTTTGGGTCACACCTGGCAATACTCAAGGTTACTCCTGGCTCTGCACTCAGGAATTACTCCTGGCAGTGCTTGGGGACCATATGGGATGCCGGGGATTGAACCTGGGTCGACCGCATGCAAGGCAAACTTCCTACCCACTGTACGATCGCTCTGGCCCTGACCTCAGTCTTAGTCTTGAGGGTACGGCACACCCAAGGCGTGTCTCATTCTGTACTGGGCAATTAACTACATGTCACAAGTGGTCACTGGTGGGCCACCAGAAATGAGGACAGTGACCGAGGCCCAGCAGAGCCGGTCTGGGGCAGGTTTTCTCGGGGGTGGGGGGACATGGTGGTAAATACTCTCAATTGTGGGCAAGCTGAGTGGGAGGTCCCAAGGACCCCTGAAAGAGGTGTCAGGATCTGGAACCCTCCCCTGCGGGACTGGGGAAGAAAGAGAACTGGGGAGAGGCTGGCGGAGCAGAAATTACTGAGAGGACGTGGGCTCCACAGTCTGGAAAGGTGAGTGCTGAGCCAGGGGCCCCAACAAGTCTCAGGCTGAGAACAGAAAGCATGAGTGTCTGCAGGGTGTGAAGTTACTGTGACCAAAGGGTGAGGGTGAGGCTATGAGAGACACAAGGTGAGAGAGGCCAGTGCAGTGACAGGGCACCATGAGGAGCACTGTGTGTGAACGGGTCAGGGGACCCGTGGGTGGTGGTCTGGAACTCGGAGCTCCACGCCAGCCTCTGGGGTGGGACACAAATTCCATCCCCACTGCATGGCCCCTGAGCAGGGTTAGCCCTGTGACCTCAAAGTCCCACCAGGATGGTGGGGGTGCGGGTGTGCATCTTATAACTGGGGTCAAAACCAAGAAAAAAGCTTGTTCCAGGGCAGACTACACACCGGCACCCGGATTAGCCTCTTAATATAGAGCAGGGGTGTGCCTGCAAGGGAGAGGGGCCAGGAGGGACCTTGGGGGTCGAGTCTGCAGGGGTGCATGCGGGGAGGCCCCACAATGACGTTTCCACCAACAGGGCACTTTTCAGCAAATGTGGATCTCGAAGCAGGAGTACGAGGAGGGCGGGAAGCAGTGCGTGGAGCGGAAGTGCCCCTGAGGGCAGCCCCTTCCCACCGGCCCGCCCCCAGCGACAGGGAGGGGACAGGAAAGGGGGTGCCGGCTTCCCCCCAAAACTCAGCTCCAGATCCCGCCCCTCTCCCACCTCTCCCCTACACCGCGCGTCCCCGTATTTATTTTTCAAGCCCCATCCGCTCGTCTTCTTAGATTGTGACGTTTCTGGGTTGAAAGAGTAAAAATGTTTTGAGAAAATGTCAGTTTGGCCTCTTTGAAAGCGGGGAGTGGGGGGGCAGGGGTCTGGAGGGAGATGAGGGGGGCTCAGGCCGATGTGGTGCTGAATCCGGGAGGAGGCCCCGCGCGGCCCCGGGCAAGAGCCTCGTAAAGCAGCTCAGAGAACGGAGACCGGAAGCGGGTGCGCCAGTGCGGCCAAGTCCGGACTCGGCCGGGGGCGTGGCTCCCTGGCAGGGGCGTGGCTACCGCCCGGGGCGTGGCTCCACGGAGAGCGTGGCTTTCGGGATGGGGCGTGCTTCCCGAAGTGGGGCGTGGTTTCTGGGAGGGGCGTGGCTTCTCCCACGGGGCGGAGCTCCGGCCACGGGGCGGGGCTTCTGGGGCTATGGTCCTGCCGAGGCCGAGGTTAGGCACCTCCAGACCTGCCATTCAGGTGAGCCAGGGCTGGGGCTCTTGGCGGAGACAGAAATGGGGCGGGGACTGGGGTACCCCAGTCTCAGCGACTCATAACGTTTTGCTGATTGGGTCGCAGCTGAGCTTTCCCAGGGGAGGCACCTGGTTGGGGCTTGGGAGGCGGGCTGAGCCCCTCTATCGCAAAGCTACTCGTGCCCCTGCCTGAAATCATGTGGGGAAAACGTAGCAGTTTGTGCCCCGATGTGCGCTTGGGATCTCAGGCCCAAGAAGTGGAATCTGGTGTAAGTTTCAACCCCCAAGGTTCTGGCCACCAGAAAGAGGTGGGTGCCCCGGGAGAACCCTGGCGTCCAAGGTCACCCCATTCTGCTCTCACCTTACACAGAGCTTTAGAGCAATGCCTCCTGTATCCAGGCCCAATGGTCTTCGCCTGCCCCACGTGGCCTCCTGTCAGACACTGGTCCCCCAAACAGGCACAGCCCCGTGCCTCTTCCTCCTGGGTGGCCACCCCAAGCCTGAGACCCACTTTTCAGCTTGAGTCCCATCAGATGGACTCTGCCCAGCCAGAGTCACACCATGGTGGCCATTCTACTAAGGTGGCCTGGGACACGTGTCCGGTGCAGGGACCGTTACAGGGGCCGTGAATTCAGAGGAGAGGGGCTTCTTGGTGAGGAGTTTAGGGAGGGTCCCCTAGGCCACTGGGAGAGATGGAAGCAGGATAAAAGGGGGATAAAGAGCCCCACCTGCCCACCCCCACTCTCTGGTCACTAGGTCAAAGTCTGCCCAAAGTCAAAAAAATTGATTGTTTTGCAGGAAGTGGGCAGGGGTGGCCTGAGAGGGCTGGCGGGGAAGGCTGCGCCCCTCACCCTCTTGCTGGGGCTGGGGGGGTCACATCAGGGAGACCAGCCATGGCCAGGGCTGTGCCCCCGCCCTGAAAGAGGAGGACGGGGCCTGGCCTGGGTCCAAGCTGTCTGCAGCAGCTGATAAGGGGCCTCGGGGGCTCCCACAAACGGTTTTATCACGACAGGAGGGGGCAGCCTGGGGGCTTAGGAGGGGACCTGGCCATGGAGCGGCTTTGGGGTCTACACCAGAGAGCGGTAAGACCTCATGGGGCTTCCCCGTCCCCAGCCCTTTCCAGCTCTCCCCTCCAGCTGGCTTCTCCCCTGCCGAGTGACTTGCCTCTCTGCCTGCTCCTGCCTTTCCCCGTCTTTGGGCCAGTGTGGCCCCCAGCGAAGGTTGCCCCCCACCCCAGTCCATTTACAGGCCTGTAAGGGACCCACCGCAGGGCCGCCTAGAGGAAGAAGAGGAAGACGGGGCGGAGGGGGGACCCGGGCCACAGAACCACTTCTGTCCCATGGAACTGCGGAGCCCCGAGGCTGGGCGGCGTCAGGGGGTTGTCTGGGCGGCCCTGGGCCACAGGGCCACCCCCTACCTAGTCCTGACTGCCCTGCTCATCTTCACTGGTGGTGAGTGACCCCCCCCTCACCCCGGGACGAGTCTGGACTCAGGAGTTTTAGGGTGCCCGGGTGGGGGGGGGGCACAAGGACAAGCTGTATCTTGCCCCCCCGCCCCGCCAGCCTTTCTTCTGGGCTATGTGGCCTTCCGAGGGTCCTGCCAGGCCTGTGGAGACGACGTGTTGGTGGTCAGCGAGGATGTCAGCTATGAGCCAGATTCAGGACAGGGCCCGCTGTACCGGAGTGACCTGCAGGCCATGTTCCTGCGCCTGCTGGGGGAGGGCTACCTGGAGGAGGCGATCAGGTAAGGGGCCAGCCCCGCCTTCCCCGCCAGGTCACTGGTCCTTCCAGCCGCTGTCCTGCAGCGCATAGGGAGTGGGGGACACTTGGAGGCGAGAGAAGGTGGCTGTGGGGGAGACCCCAGAAATTCTGGGATCTGGGGTGATGCATTTGGCACTGGCAAGAGCAGAAAGTCCCTGTATCCCATGACAGGTAGGACAGACCCACCCAGACTCCAATGTCACCTCTAGGGGCCCGGGTTATGAACTGTGGCAGTGGGTGTTTTAGGGACCTCAAGAACAGGCACTTTAAAGAATCAGAAAAGCCACAACCACGCAAAGGTTCCAGTGGCCAATCCTGGTTTTCTTTCTTTTAGGGGAGTGGGGTACACCTGGTGCTCTCTCTGCGCTCAGGGATCACTCCGGTGGGGCTGGGGCACCATTTAGGATGCTGGGGATGAAACCCGGGTCAGCTGTGGGCAAGGCAGGTGCCCTCCCCGCTGCACTATGGTGCACCCTCCCTCCTGGTTTCTAAGGCAACGATCAATGATCTATAGGTCGATGTGTGTGTGTGTGTTTGGGGGGGAGGGAGGGTAGCTGCAGTTCACTCTTCTGGGACTCCTGCCTTTCCTGAGGGTGGGAGGGGACCCAGACCGAAGCAGGAGGACAGTAGCTATCTTTTTTTTTCTTTCTTCTCTGCTCTCTTTTCTTTATTTGGGGGGAGCAGGGGTGGGGCACAGCCAACAATGCTCAGGGTTTACTCCTCGCTCTGCATTTAAAAATCACTCCCGGGGGCTGGAGAGATAGCACAGAGGGTAGGGCGTTTGCCTTGCACGAGGCTGACCCGGGTTCGATTCCCAGCATCCCATATGGTCCCCTGAGCACCGCCAGGAGTAACTCCTGAGTGCAGAGCTAGGAGCAACCCCTGTACATCGCCAGGTGTGACCCAAAAAGCAAAAAAAAAAAAAAAATTCACCCCTGGAAGGCTGAGGACCAACCATACAGATCATACCCCGGGTCAGCTGTGTGCAAGGAGAGTGCCCTTCTGCTGTGCTATCTTTCCAGACCCTTGCTGCTCTTTTGTGTGTATGTGTGTGTGTGGGGGGGGGGGGAGCATTGAACCACACCTGGTGATGCTCTGGGCTTACTCCCAGATCTGTTCTCGGAGGTCACTCCTGGTGGTGCTCAGGGATTGTCTAGGGTGTTGGGGATTAGACTGGGGTCAACTGCGTACAAGACAAGAGCCTTACCTTCTGTCCTTTATCTTTGACTTTAATCGATGAATTTGATGCCACTTTGTCATTGAGATCCAACCTTACTGCTGATTCTGAACAGATTTTTATTTGGCTTTGAGCTTTTTGTTCGTTTTGTTTGGGGGCTACACCAAGTAGTGCTCAGGCTTACTCTTGGCCCTGTGTGCAGGGATCGCTTCTGGTGGGCTCAGGGCACCATATGGGATGCTAGGAATTGAACCTGGGTTGGCCATATGCCGGGGCTCGGGGGACCAGATGCAGTAGAAGGGGACTGAACCCAGTTTGGCTGTGTGTGAGGCAAGTAATTTACCTGCTGTGTTATTTTCTCCAGCCCCCTGATTTGATTTTTTTGAAATTAATTAAAAAATATATCCTTTTTAGTTTATGGCCCACACGTGATGCTTAGCAGCTCTGCCCAGATCTCCAGGGTCACTCCTGGAAATGCTCAGGGGACCAAGAGTGTCAGGGACCCACCCGAGGCCTCGGAAGCAAAGCTGCATACAAATCTGTTGAGCTGCCGCTTCTGCCCTTTGATTTTTGTTTTTGTTTTGGGGCCACACCCAATGATACTCAGGGGTTACTTCTGGCTCTGCAATTTAGGAATCACTCCTGGTGGGCTTGGGGGACCATATGGGATGTCAGGGATTAAAGCTGGGTGGGCTGCGTGCAAGACAAGTGTCCTCCCTACTGCCCTATCACTCCCGTCCCCTAACCCTTTGCTTTTTTGAGTCATCAGGAAAGGAAGGTCAGGTACAGAGAAGTTATTTCTTCCAAGTAGTTTCCGAGACTGTACAGATGGGGCCCTAACTTTTCTTGTGAAGTTGATGTCGTAATTTGTGTCTGCCATCAGTATCCTTGATTGACAACCCAATTCAAGATTCCTTACTGTTACAGCTCGATGTTGCAATTGTTCTTGTTTGGTTGGTTTTTGGGTCACACCCAGCAGTGCTCAGGGCTTACTTCTGGCTTGGCCTCAGAGATCACTCCTAGTGGAGCTCAGGGGACCATGTGAGGTGTCGGAGATCGAACCCAAGGCAACACAGACGTCCTCCCTGCTGTATTGTTGCTCCAGCCCTTGATGGCACAACTGACCAGGGCATAGTTCTCTCCTTGTCCACACCTGGACAGGCTTGGCCCAAAGACCCCAAATCTCATCTCCAACAGCTGTCAGGTCTTGCTGTATTCTAGAGTAGAACTGACCGGGTGGGGGCAGGGTTTGAGCAGTTCTGCAGTTTGACAAGTCAAGGGATGGGGTGGAAGCCGGGGGTGGTTGTCGTCCAAGGGCATAGAGGCAGGAGGAAGCAGCGAGCAGGAAGGGGTGACTTCAGTTTGCCTTGGAGGAGTCTGTAGGCCTGGAAAAACCATAGGTGTTGCAGGAGGTGGAGGAGCAGGGAGCGAGGGAGCCTGCTGGCCCCCAAAAAGCGCCCAGCCGACAGTGGGCTTCTCGGTGCAGAGTCGGCTCATAAACTGTGACTGGTTTGTCTTGTGTGTCCAACACCTACCACAGCACCATCCACACACAAAACCTTCCCCAGCCTGCATTCGGGGTGGGGGATGGGGTGGGCAGGCTCCAATGTACCAGAGCCACGCAGCTCTTCGTTAACTTGTCTCACCAGGGGCCGGGGTGATAGTCCAGCGGGGAGGGCGTTTGCTTTGCATGTGACTGACCTGGATTCGATCCCCGGCATCCCATAGGGTCCCCCAGCACTGCCGGGAGTAATTCCTGAGAGTGCAGAGTCAGGAGTAACCTCTGAGCATTGCCACATTCTGTAGGACATCATTTAAGAGATGAAAAGGAAGACAAGCAAAGGGTGTGGGGCCAGAGAAATAAGACAAGGGTGAGAACACTTCCTTGAATGTAGCTGACCCTGGTTTGATCCCCAACATCCCATAGGATCCTCTGAGCCCCACCAGGAGTGATCCCTGCCCTGAGCAGAGCCGGGAGTAAGCAATAAAAAAAGCCAGCAGCGACCCCAAAACTATAATTAAATAACTAAATAAATACACATGCACGCTGGAGAGATGCTCAGAGAACTGAAGTATGTGCCGGTTTGATGCCCCCCGACACTACATGGTCTGCTTGGCATTGAGCCTGTGAGCACTGAGTGGCCCCTGTGCACTTCTGGGTGTGGTCCCCAAACAATCACTAAATAGAACTGTCTAGGGTCCGGGGAAGTAGTGCTTTGGGTAGGGCGCTTGCCTTGCATGCAACCAAAGTAGGCCCAGAAGCAGACCCTGAACATAGTCGGGCGTCGCCCCCAAACAAAACAACAACAAAAACAAATAAAATAAATAGAGGTCTATTTGGGGGAGAAAGGGGGTCACAACTGGCAATGCTCAAAGGTTACTCCTGACTCTGTGCTCAGGAATCACTCCTGGCAGGCTCGGGGGACTCAATGGGATGCCAGGGATCGAACCTGGGTCAGCTGCGTGCGTGCAAAACAAGCGCCTTACCCAGTATACTATTTCTTCGGCCCCTACATAGAGGTCTTACTAAAATAAAGAACTGCACATGTGGCTTTGCCACTTTACGTGTATACGCAGATTTCCCCCAATATTTGTGTCAGGGGCTCTGTTTCTCTCTGTGCTTCCTCCGTCGGCGCTGCTGCTGTCCTGAAGATTCGCTGTCACACTCCGTTGCGGTGCTCGCCAGGTGCGGCTCCTCGGCTCACGGTGCTCCTGTGCCGGACCGTGAGCGCCAGGGCGGACACTAGGGGTCGCTGTGGTGCTCCCACACACCCAGCATTTTTCCTGGCCCAGGGCTCGCCCGTACTTCAGGGAGTTCGCCGGTACTTTAGGGAGTTCCCAGTCAGCGGGGCTGCTGGGACCTCACCGGGGCATGTAGACGATATTGCGGATTGAACTCGCGACCTCACCAGGTGCTTTTTGCACTGAGTTCCCCCCGCCTTGTCCCCAGTCCTCCCCGCAACTTTGCAGTTTTTGTTTTTAGATCCAGTTTGTCCAGTTTGGACAAACTGGCAGGCTACCGAATGTAACCTGCCCACACGGCAGAGTCTGGCAAACTCCCCGTGGCATACCCAATATGCCAAATACCAGTAACAATGATGGGACTCATTCTCCTAAAGAGCCTTGAATATAGCACTTTCTTAAAAATCTCAGGGCTAGGATGAAGGAGATGTTACTGGGGCCTGCTCGAGGCAATCGACGAATAACAGGATGATCATGATCGTCGTGATCGTGATCGTTTTTAGATCACACCAAAGCGATGCTCAGGGGTCACTCCTGGTGTCGCTCAGGGGACCATATGGGGTACCAGAGATTGAACTCACTTCCCTGCATGCAAGGCAAATTGTCTTCCCTGCTGGGATGCTCCTTTTGAAACATTTAAAGCATCAGGGATCAGGGAGGTGGTATAGAGGTCCAAGCGCATGCTCCAGTACCACGTGACGTCCCAGAATCTGGCTGGAAGAAACCCGAGTTTTGTGGGGTGTGACCTCCCGAACGAAAACCAAAAAATTAAAGCCACATGAAAAAATATGAAAAGAGTAAAAGAAAAATCACCCCCAGGACTCTGTCTTCACTTCTGCCTGAAGTGTGTGTGGGGTTTTATCTATTTTTTTTCTTTTTGGGTCACACCAGGGGTTACTCAGGAATTACTCCTGGTGGTGCTTGGGGAACCATATGGGATGCTAGGAATCAAACCCAGGTTGGCCACGTGCAAGGCAAATGCCCTACCCGCTGTGCTATGGTTCCGGCCCCTGGAGTGTGTGTTTTTAATTTAGAGAAACTTTTCCCGCCACCCCCCCCACCAAAGCAAGAGTGCAGCAGGTGGGGTGCTTGCTTTCATGCAGTCGACCTGGGTTCAATCCCCTGGCACCCCATTTGGTCCCCCAAGCTCTGCCTGAGCTCAGAGCAGGAGTAAGTGTAGTAAAAAAAAAAAAACCTCCAAACCTATCAACATTTTTCCCTTTTTGGGGGGGGCCTCAGTAGTGCTTGGGGGTGAGAGGGCAGCAATGGGGGTGTTGGGGGGCATGCAATACAGGGGACCAAACTGGACGTCACACATGCGAGGCGTGCATGCTGGCCCTGCGCTCTCTCTACAGTCTTGCTCTGTGTGTGTGCTGGGGACATTGATCAGCTGTGGGGTCCAGGGCCACTGCAGCAGATACGCATCCCTGCAGCGAGGGTGTGATGGTTCTGCCGTTGGACCCTGGTGATGCCGGAGGCCACCAGGGCCTCAGGAGTGAGGACCACAGCCAGTGGTGCCGAGGATCCAACTCGGGGACTTACTTGCGTTTGCAGCCATGTGCTCCAGCCTCTGGAACTGTCTCCCCGGCCTGCACAGCAGAAACGCTTTTTCCCCATTTAACACTGTGGCCAGGCCTATCTCCTGGCCTGTGCTCTGCCCCCAGGGGGTCCCCAATGCTGCCCAGATTCCAGGAGGTCCTCCTTGCTGAGATGTCACCTGTGCGGGGTTCCCCACACCTGTTCTGGTGTGGGTGACTCAGCAAGGGGACCAAGACCACTGTCACCATAGACTGTGGTTGCAGAGAGGCGCATTCGTCATTTGTGAGAACTTGAAGTCACTCTCACTTAGTGGCTTCAGTGCAGCGTGTGGAGCCCTACAGGGGACCTGAGCTCACCAGTGTCTGGATCTGAGCCCCCAACCAGGCAGGCTCCACTTCAAGCCGGGGGGGGCGGGGGCTGCAGGTCCCAGGGAGTGCCCCCATCTGCACAGGGAAAATGTGGGCCCAGGGGTGCTGAGCAGGTGGGGGGAGCCAACCCGGGTGGGGTGAGGGAGAGGCAGGGGAAGTATGGCAGGAAGAGACCCACTGGCCACAGCCTCCCACTGGGGAGAGGGGGGTGGGCCAGGAGGACAGGGAAGGATGGTGGTGGCCCTCAGGTGAGGGAAGAGCAGAGGAGCAGATGAGGACCCCCCAGCCGGCAGTGGACGGGGCAGGCTTGAGGAGACAACTGAGAGCATTGGGGACTCTGGGTGGAAGGTGGGGACTGGGGGAGAGTGAGGGTGGGCTGCGGCCGGGCGTGTGGGCCTGGGGCCAGCACAGGCAGAAAGGGAAGGGGGGATTTGGGCACCCCAACGCCTCTGTCCCCCAGGCAGAACAGCCGCCGGGCCCGGGTGGCAGGCTCTGCAGGGATGGCCACCCTGGCCCAGGACATCCGTGAGGCACTGTCACGCCACAAGCTGGACCACGTGTGGACAGACACGCATTATGTGGGGCTCCAGTTCCCAGACCCGTGAGTACGGGGGGCGGGGGTGGCGGGGGGCCAGGAGCCGGCGCGGGAGGGCACTCACCACCCACATTCTGCAGGGCTCACCCCAACACCCTGCACTGGCTGGACTCCAAAGGGGAGCCCGGCCAGCAGCTGCCGCTCGAGGACCCCGATGTATACTGTCCCTACAGCGCCACGGGCAATGCCACGGTGAGCGGCTGGCGGGGGGGTCGGTGAGAGAGGGGTGGGTGGCCGGGAGGGGATGGGACAAAGCCCAGTCATGGCCCCCCACAGGGAGAGTTGGTGTTCGCGAACTTTGGACGGCTGGAGGACCTGCAGCGGCTTCGGGCAAGCAGCGTGGAGCCGGCGGGGCGCATCCTGCTGGTGCGCCTTGGGGCCATCAGCTTCGCCCAAAAGGTGAGGGGCCCGCGGAGCACCGGGCACCAATGGGTCAGGTGGGCCGAGCAGGGCTTCTGTCCTCAGGGGGGACAAAGAACAGCTGGGGTGGAAGAGGTGGGCTCTGCAGTTGGAAGGCAGGACTGCCAGATGTCCCGTGCAAGTCACAGGAGTGTGTGCCTCTATGTATGCGTGTGTGAGCACCTGTGCACCTGTGCGCATGTGTGAGCGCGTGTGTGCCTGTGTGTATGCATGTGTGAGCACCTGTGTGGGAGCGCATGTGTGTACATGAGTGCGTGCCTGTATGCATGTGAGCGTGTACACCTGTGTGCATGTGAGCACGTGTGCGCCTGTGTGCGTGAATGCATACGTGAGTGCGTATGTGCCTGTATGCGTGTGTGAGTATGTGCACCTGTGTGCATGTGTGAGTGCATGTGCGCCTGTGTGCGTGTGAGTGCATGTGCCAGTGTGTATGTGTGTGTGAGCACATGTGCCTGTGCGTTTGCACTGGTGTGCATGTTTGTGTGTCCTTGTGTGTGTATGCATGTGTGCTTGTGTATACGCGTGAATGTGTTTCTGTCTGTGGTGTCCACCTGTGTGTATGTATGTTGAGTGTGTGTGTGCTTGTGTCTTTGCACCTGTGTGTTTATGTGCGCACATGTACATGTGTTTGGGGGCCACACCCAGCAAGCGAGGTGTTCAGCTAAGGGCTGCTTCCCCACCTGCCGAGGCCCTGCATGGGGGGATGGAACCCAGCTGCACACAGAGAACTCGCTCCAGCCTGTGAGCGTCTCCCGTACTGCGAGTCACTTTGGTCTGGAACAAGGGCTCCCGGCCACCTGCTTTCCCCAGGTGGCCAACGCGCAGGCCTCTGGGGCCCGAGGCGTGCTCCTCTACCCAGACCCAGCCGACTTCTCCCCGGATTCCCCCAAGCTCGGCCTGTCCAGCCACCGGGCTGTGTATGGACACGTGAGTTGGGCGGTGGGGGGGGACTGGGTCTGCCCAGGGTACTGGCACACTTTCCCCAGGAGCCCAGCTCCATTCCAGTGGGGGTCCCCTGTCTCCACAGGTGCACCTGGGAACTGGGGACCCCTACACGCCCGGGTTTCCTTCCTTCAACCAAACACAGTTCCCACCCGTGCGCTCATCCGGCCTCCCCCATATCCCCGCGCAACCCGTCAGCGCCCACGTGGCCTCCCTGCTGCTTCGGTGAGACTCGGGGCGACGGGAAATGTGGCTTCTTCCGGGAGAGAGCCCTCGGGGGCTCTGGCGGCATTTCACGCCCACCTCCCTGACCCCTTGGGAAGGACACAACAACCATCCAGGATGGACAGACCCCCAGAGGGTGCAGAGGCGAGGGGCAGGGGGCAACGGGGGTGGGGGTCGTGGCTCTTCTCCCACTGGGCCTCTGCCTCCCTTTTTTCCACCCTTCCAGGAAACTCAAAGGCCCGGTGGCCCCCCAGGACTGGCAGGGCCAGCTCCCCAGCTCCCCGTATCGCTTGGGCCCTGGCCCGGGCCTGCACCTCCGGGTAAACAACCAGCGCATCTCCACCCCCATCAGCAACATCTTCGGCTGCATCGAGGGCCGCTCCGAGCCAGGTGGGCTCCCCGCAGCACCCACCCTCTGTGCTGGCAGAGGGGGTGCCGCTCCGGGTGCTGGAGAGAGATGGGGCTGGAGCAGGAGGCCCGAGGGTGGGGCCCTAGGGAGGCGGCTCTGAACTGCAGGATGCAGCAGAGGGAGATCAGTGACTAGTGGCTAATTTAGGGGGGTGCAGAGCGATAATACAGCTGGGAGGGCTCTGGCCTTGCAAGCAGCCGACCTGGATTCAATCCCTGGCATCCTACAGGGTCCCCTGAGCTCAGAGCCAGGTGTAAGCCCTGGTCCTGTCCTCCCCGTGTTCATCGATTTGCTTGAGCAGGCCCAGTAATGTCTCCATTGTGAGACTTGTTACTGTGTTTGGCATATCGAATACCTCACAGGGAGCTTGCCAGGCTTTGCCGTGCGGGCAAGATACTCTTGGTAGCTTGCCGGGCTCTCTGAGAGGGGCAGAGGAATCGAACCCGGCTCAGCTGGGCTGGCTGCACACAAGACAAACGCCCTACCACTGTGGTATCACTCCAGCCCCAGATGTGACCCAAAATAGAAAATAAAATAAAAGAGGAAGGCATCCAGTTTTGTTGTCACTTGCCTTGCATGGGTGAGGCCTTGGGTTTGATCCCCAGCACCACAAAGCAAATATAAGAGAGGAAGCCTGTCAGGACAGCTGACCAAGGAGGTCCTGGGGTTTAGCATGGCCCTGGGCTTCCCAGGGTTGAAGGGAGGGCCCTCCCCTTAAGTGTCCTTAGAAATGGAGGGGCTGGGAGAGCAGAGCTGAGGAGCGGGGGTGGGCACGGATTAGGGGTCTGGGAGAAATGCTGGCCCAGCCTGGGAGGCCTCTGCTGCCTGTGGAAGAGGTGGACCCTGACATCTTGTCCCCAGACCACTATGTTGTCATTGGGGCCCAGAGGGACGCATGGGGCCCAGGCGCGGCTCAGTCTGCGGTGGGGACAGCCATCCTGCTGGAGCTGGTGCGGACCTTCTCGTCCATGGTGAGCCATGGTAAGGCCGGGTGCAGGCAGTGAGGATGGGGACCCCCGGCTAGTCCATCCAGGGGCGGCAACAAGTGCTAGAGCAGCAGGCAGGACACCCAGGTTCCATCCTGGCTCCCCACAGGGCCCCCCAAGCTCTGCCAGGAGTGACCCCTGAACAGAACCAAGAATAAGCCCTGAGCACCACCAGGTGCAGCCCTAAGACAAGGAGCAAAAGAATCAAGATAAAAATGGATGAAAGGGGGCTGGAGCGATGGCACAGCGGGTAGGGCCTTTGACTTGCACGTGTCTGACCTGGGTTCGATTCCCAGCATCCCATATGGTCCCCTGAGCACCGCCAGGAGTAACTCCTGAGTGCAGAGCCAGGAGTAACCCCTGTGTATCACCGGGTGTGACCCAAAAAGAAAAAACAATGGATGAGAAGGGGCTGGAGCGATAGCACAGCGGTAGGGTGTTTGCTGTGCACGCAGCCGACCTGAGTTCGATCCCTGCCATCTGATATGGTCCCCCAAGCACCGCCAGGAGTAATTCCTGAGTGCAGAGCTAGGAGGACCCCCTGAGCATCATCGAGTGTGACCCAAAAAGAAAAAATAAATTAAAAAAAATGGGGGGCTGGAGCAATAGCACAGCGGGTAGGGCGTTTGCCTTACACGTGGCTGACCCAGGTTCGATTCCCAGCATCCCACATGGTCCCCCAAGCACCGCCAGGAGTGATTCCTGAATGTATGAACCAGGAGTAACTCCTGTGCATTGTTGGGTGTGACCCCCCCAAAAAATTAAAAAATAGATGAGAGGGAGAGGGCTCCTCTGGGTGGGCCGGGGAGAAGGGTTGGGGCAGGGATATTGAGAGGAAGGAGTGGGGGGGGGGCAGGGGAAGACAGAGAATGGGGTCTCTGCTCAGCCCCCTGCCCAGCCCAGCTGCTCTTCCCAGGCTTCCGGCCCCGCAGGAGTCTCCTCTTCATCAGCTGGGACGGAGGCGAGTTCGGGAGTGTGGGCTCCACCGAGTGGTTAGAGGTAATGAGCTCCCAAGTGCTCCGGCAGTGGGGGGGCAGGGGAGAGTGGGTTTCAGAGCACACACACCCCCCCCCCCCCCCCCGCAGGGCTATCTCAGCGTGCTGCATCTGCGAGCTGTGGTCTATGTGAGCCTGGACAACGCAGTGCTGGGTGAGCCAGGCAGTGCCGCCACTGGGGTCCCCGAGGGTCCCCCTGTTGTCCAGCAAGCCTGGAGCCTGGCTTCTTCCTGCAGGGGATGACAAGTTCCATGCAAAGACCAGCCCTCTTCTGATCAGCCTCATCGAGGACATTCTGAAGCAGGCAAGTGGGGACAATTACGGGGAGTGGGAGGGGGGGAAGTATGCCACCTGACTGTCCCCACTCTGGCCCTAGGTGGACTCCCCCAACCGTAGTGGGCAGACCCTGTATGATCAGGTGGCCGTCAGCAATCAGAGCTGGGAAGCAGAGGTGTAAGTGGGGGCGGGAGAGAAGCTGGGAGCTGGTGGGGGGCAAGGGACCCCCATGCTGACCTTCCTGTCCCCCAGGGTCCGCCCACTGCCTATGGACAGCAGTGCCTATTCCTTCACGGCGTTTGCGGGGGTCCCCGCGGTGGAGTTTTCCTTCGTGGAGGTGAGGCCCCACCCCCCCGCCCCGCCCCACGCAGCGGACCCCCACACCCCTGCCAGCGCCTGCCAGACCATCCGGATCCCCACAGGACGGCCCGGCCTACCCGTTCCTACACACCAAGGATGACACCTTCGAGAACCTGCACCAGCAGCTGCGGGGCCGGCTGCCCGCCGTGGCCCAGGCCGTGGCCCAGCTGGCCGGGCAGCTGCTCATCCGACTCAGCCACGATCACCTGCTGCAGCTGGACTTCGGCCGCTACGGTGACGTGGTCCTCAGACACATCGGCAGCCTCAACGAGTTCTCGGGGGACCTCAAGGTCCAGCTTCTGGGGGCGGGGGGCGCACTAGGCCCTTAACGCGCTGCTGGCGCCGTCTGGGTCCTCTCCGGGCTTCCCCTGCCCCTAAGGCGCTAGGGTCCCCCAGGGATGCACCAGATCTGCCTCTCCCAGCCCCCTGCACCCCATCCCCCTTTGCAAGGCCCACCCAGCCAGGCCCAGGAGCCGGCCCTATGGGGGGTGGGGGGCTGGCCCCTGCCGCCTGCCCCAGCCCGCTCTCCGCCCGCAGGCCCGCGGCCTGACCCTGCAGTGGGTGTTCTCGGCGCGGGGGGACTACATCCGTGCGGCCGAGAAGCTGCGGAAGGAGATCTACAGCTCGGAGGAGAGTGACGAGCGCCTCATGCGCATGTACAACGTGCGGATCATGCGGGTGAGGCCCCGCCCCGGCGCGCCCCCTGCCGGCAGCGCCCCGCGCAGCACCCACGCGCAGCTTCCCCGGGCCCTGCCGTCGGGGCTGCACGTGTGTGTTCGCGCTCACGGGCCGGACCTGCGGGAGTGAGCGGCGCTCCTGCAGCCTCGCAGCGAGGGAACCGATAATGAGGGCCACGGCCTTTGGCCATGCGTGCTTCCAGGCCAACGCGTCTCAGGACAGTGTGTGAGCCCCTCCCTCAGTGGCCCCCTTAGGAAAAATAACGTTCAGGATGTTCTGTATGCAGTCCAAGAGGCAGAGGTTATTTTGGCCCTGGAGCTGCCGAAGGTTTATTACATTCAGAATGAGGAGTGCTCCCCTCTGAGATGCACGATAATTCAGAAGGAGGTGTCAGATGAAAGTTAATAGGAGGTGTTTTTTTTGGGGGGTGGGGCTATACCCGGCTGTGTTTAGGGCCTACTCCTGGCTCTGTGCTCAGGGATCACTCCCGGTGGGCTTGGGGGATCATATGGGGTGCTGGGGATTGAACCCTGTTGGATTGCGCGCAAGGCAAGCAAGTGCCCCACTCTATACTATTGCTCTGGCACCAACTCAAGGTTTTATTCCCTCATTTCCTCCTTCTTAGCTTTGAGTGCTTTACTTCCTGCACAAGTCCCACCCCTCCTCTTCTTTCCCTTCTTCACCCAAGAATGAAACCCTGCAGCTGTTTGATCTCAGGAAGACGCTGGGTTAGGATTGTGGTGTGGGCAAAGGGCAAAGTTAGGAGCTGGCTGGCGTGTGGGAGGCTGGGCCGTGACTGCAGAGTGTGCTGGCATGGTTTGGAGTGAACAGACCTTCCCCATACAATTTCTCTTATCTTTGTCTCATGCACCAAGTTTACCTTTAGATCCTTATTTACCCCTGTCTGGGGGACTCCATTAATCCCCACAGCACCCTACTGTCACCTCCCTCAGAGGGAGCCATCCTAAGGGGTACGATTCAAACTCAGAGCAGGAGAGTCAGGCACAGGGCCAGGCCGAGGGAATGTCGTGGCTCTACACCAGTGGTTGGTAAACTGGCTAACTGACCACGTTTGTCATGAAGCCTGGTTTATGAATAAAGTTTTATTGCAACACAGCCATGCTCATTGGTTGCCTTTGGTTTCTGGCAGCTTTTATCGAAGCAATGCTGGGGACATGCAACAGGATGACTTGCAAATCCTGAAATGTTGACTCTCGGCCTTTTTTTTTTTTTTTTTTTTTTTGCAGAAAATGTTTGCCAATCCCTGCTTTAGACTCTGACATGGGCCTGAAAGAATGGACAGGGTTGGGCGGGTGCAGAGAAAGGTTTCAGTGCAGAGACGAATTTCAGACAGGGGACGAAGCATGGCTTTTGTGAAGGTTGCCCGGCGCTCCCTGTGGTCAGGAGGTGGATGTGTAGAGCCCAACTAGGTCCCCACGGAGAAGTGGAGGGGAGGGGATGAAGTGTGGGGTTAGGGATCCCTCCGGAGGAGCCGCTGGTGCTAGGAGCGTTTGGGAGGGGCGTCGAGGGTGAGTGAGCGGAGCCGAGGCAGACTGGGCAGCTGCCCGCTGACCTTGGCTGGACTGGGTGGGGTGGTGGAGGCGGGGAGATACAGCTGGGTGTGGGGAGAGGTGTCTGTCGTGCTTAACAGCCGCGCAGCAGACTGTTCCTCGAGGAACTGCGGGAAGCAAACCGACTTGCGGCTGCAGGCAGCTGGGATGTGGAGGCTTGAAGCCCAGGCCGGCGGCCGCGCCCGTCCCACCGGTTTTGGTGACGTCACCAGGCACCCGCCCCTGATTGGCTGGATTGGAGGCGGGCCGCCCCGCCCCACCTATAAAAACGGTCACGCCCCTTCCCCGCCCATCCGCGCCCAACCTGAGCCCTTTCTCCGCACAGGTGGAGTTCTACTTCCTGTCCCAGTACGTGTCGCCAGCTGACTCCCCGTTCCGCCACATCTTCCTGGGCCACGGGGACCACACACTGGGCGCCCTGCTGGACCACGTGCGGCTGCTGCGGGGGCAGGGCTCCAGTCCCGAGGCTGCCTCCTCCTCGCTGGCCCCGGGCCTGGGCTTCCAGGAGAGCCGCTTCCGGCGCCAGCTGGCCCTGCTCACCTGGACGCTGCAGGGGGCAGCCAACGCACTTAGCGGGGACGTCTGGAACATCGACAACAACTTCTGAGGCCTCCACGCAGGGCCAATTTCTGGGTGAGGGGGTCGCCCCGCAGCACTGGCATCGCTGGTGGATTTCTCATTGGGTCTTTGCTGGCCTCTAGGGCTCCCTGCACCCCAAGACACCAGCAATCACCCCTACACCCCTAGCCCTGCAAGGTAGGTGGTGCGGAGCCTTCCTATGGAGGGTTCTTTTTCGGCCAATGAGAGCAGCCCCTTTCCCTGGAGGAACCACAGAGTATTCTGGAAGCTTTCTGGGCCCCGGGCCCTGGGAAGGATGGCAGGGTACCAAGGTCTGTTCATAAAACCTGGCAGCATCGGTGATTCATAAGCACCCATCAAATGCTTCCTTCTTCCTTCCCCACACCCCAACCTTGTCCCTGAGAAAGTTCCAGAAGGCATGGGCAGAGGGGCCAGAGGGCAAGAGTTCAGAGGGCAAACTGAGAGGTATTAGTTACCTAAGGAAGGGAACTAACTGCCCAGTGGGCTGGGCGAAGCGCGGCACCCCCCTACCTCCCAACCCCCCAGATGTGGTCCCAGAAGCAGAGGAAGAAGCGAAAAACACAAACTCCTTTCTTCAAAGACCACGGTGGGGTCAGGATTGTCCAGTCATTTGTTCAAGACCAAGGAAGCCTCAATAAACTGCACATCCTAGTGGAAAAGGAAAATGCAATAAAGTCCCGCTCTCAATCTGACTTAGGGGTTTTTATTTGCTATCTGATGTCAGCGTTCCTGAGACAGGGGAGCAAGGTGAGACAGTCACAGGCTGAGTGTGTGCTTCGGGTGGGAGGCTCCACTCCCAGCATCGCATCTTCCGCATCACAGGAAATGGCCCCCATCGCTACTGGGTGCAGTTTCCCCACTGCCCCCCAAAGAAAATGAAACTAAATATTGGCTCCCTGATGCCCAAGTCTGTCTGCTCCTTGGTGAGGATCACAAATATGCAGAGCTTTGTCTCTCCCCAACATTCGGGTGCTCCTGGGACGGGGTTGGGGGGCACAGCACTCCAAGGCCATCACTGTGCTTCCAAACTCTCAATGCCCAGGCAAAAGCATTCCGAATAGGGTCCCGAGACTGTCTCCACACCTGTTTGCTCTGGCACCACAAAACAATGGTCTGGACATCCGCGCGGGTGCTCTCCCTGGGGCTTGTTGAAGGCTTTGCAGAAGGAGGCAGGTGAAAGCTTGGGAGGAAGCTTGGGAGGGGCGGCAGTTCTGGGCTAAACCAGGGCCCCTTCCCCAACACGAATGTTCAAGCACTGAGCATGGATGTTTTTGTCCCTGGTGAGGGAGTTTCTATGAGGTGACTGAATACTGTGGGAAGGGCGCTTGCTTTGCAAGTGGATGACCTGGGAATTGATCCTCAGCACCCCATAAGGTTCCCTGAACCCCACCAGGAGTGATCCCTGAGCACCACTGGGTGTGCCCCCCCCCCAAAAAAAACAGGTGATTGAATTAAAATGAGGTGTTAGGTTTGGGTCTCCTCCCAGCTGACTGTAGGGGCCATGGGTGAGCCCAGGAGGCCTCAGGACAAACCCACAGTACAGGGCCACAGTGATAGTACAGCAGGTAGGGCATTTGCCTAGCACACAGTCGAGTTCAATCCCCAGTGTCCCATATGGTCCTCCAACCACTGCCAGGAGTAATTCCTGAGTAAATCCCAGGAGGAACCCCTGAGCATCTTGGGTGTGACCTCCCCAAAACAAACAAACAAACAAACAAAAACCACAGTACAGGCCCCTTCAGTTGCTCTTTCAGACCTGAGAAAAAAATCCACTGCTAAACTTTAAGCCCCTCTGAGTCCTGATATTCCCCCAGGGGTGGTGGTGGTGTTCTCTAGATTATCCTAGATTTGGGGTGGTGCAGGCACAGAAAAAAAGGAACAGAAATATCAGAAGCTGCTATACTCTTGTTTCTGTTTTGTTTTTTTTTTGGGGGGGGGAGAGAAATGGGATGTCCAAGCAGTACTCAAGGCAATGCACAGTTGGGTCAGGCAGGAGAGATGAAGGCACAGGCCGGTGGCATCACGCAGTGCTGGGCACTAACTCGGCTGGACCCCGAGCCACCTCGGCTGTCCCCTACCTCTTGTTTTTCAGTGAAGATGAGGGGGGAGCTCCGGAAGCCGACAACGGCCCCTCCTCCCACCTTGACCTTCCCAGAAGCACCTTCGGTTTCCAGGCACCGTCTGTGTTGTTTTAACACAGGCTTCTGACGGTTATCCACTTCCGCAGCTCCGCCCCAGGAGATGAGTACATACGCAGCCCCTCGAGGGACTGCAGACTGTTATTTTCTCAGACACTGGCTTCAACTTTTCTTTTTTTTTTTTCCTTTTGGGTTACACCCAGCTGTGCTCAGGGCTGACTCTTGGGTCTGCACTTAGGGATCACTCCTGGTGGGGCTCGGGAGACCCTATGGGGTGTCAGGGATTGAACTGCTGCATGCAAGGCAAGCGCCCTCCCCACGGTCTGTCACTCTGGCCTGTGACTGCGGGTTTTGTTCCCCATCAGCCATCTTCCAGCACCCTTCTGTCCCCTCTCCCCTGCCAGGTGGGCTGGAAGCCTGCACTTCTAGGCTGATTCTTCTCCCGGGCTCGACTTTCCCCAGCCAGGCCCCTTCCCCCATCTTGGCATACTCGTCCCTGTTTCTGATCCATGGGAGTTGAAGCCTTTTATGAAGAAACAAAATGAAAGGATAAAGGGTGAAAAGGTCGGGGGGGGGGGTTCTGGGGCATGTAACCATCTAGGCCACCTGACAAGGAGTCGAGATAGCGCAGACTGGATTCAACAGTGTGTGTGCGTGGGCAGCTTCACTGCACAACTCAGACTTTACTTTTCTTTTCTTTTTTTTTTGGGGGGGCACACCTTTCAGTGCTTTAGGCTGACACCTGGTACTGCACTCAGCGATCTTTCCTGAGGGGACTCGGGGACTCTCTGGGATACCGGGGAACAAATGCAGCTTGGCCATGTTCAAGGCAGGCGCCGTCCCTGCTGTATTATCACTCCTGTCCCATATTCTTTTTCTTTCCTTTCGCCCACTTTGCTCTAGGGAACCACGCCATCTGCAAAATACCCCAACCCTGTGCTATCTCTCCAGCTTCTTTTATTTTTAGAACTTAGGAACATTGGCGTAGGGACAAGATGCTGCTTAAGAATTAACCTGGGGTCCAGAGAGATAGTACAGGGGTCAGGCATTTGCCTCATTGCGGACTCTGCCCTGGATCCCGCTTCGGGTTCTGAGACCGTCAGGGTCCTCCTGGGCAGTCAGGAGTAGGTCCTGAGCATGGGGTGTGACCCCCCAAGTTTTAAAAAATAAACTAGGGACTTAGGAGAGCGCAAACTGGGCATCTGGCAAGCAGGAGGCCTGGACTCTGATCCCTGGAGCCACATGACCTCTGGAGTGTCTCGGTGGTCCCCAACACCAGCAGGAGTGGCCCAGGAGACGAGGCACTCCCAGCCGAGCCGTGAACTGACTTGGTGGGAGCAGCTGGGGCCCCCAGAGCACTAAAAGAAAATAACAAGAATCAACTCGCATGATTCGCTCATTTTCTAACTCGAAAAACGAAAAGTCCAGAGAAATGACAAGGCCTTGCCCAAGACCCCAAGTTTTCTGGGCAGCCTCGGGAAGTCGAACCCCAAATGCTTGCTGTGCTGTGACACCCCCCGGGGTTCCCCAGGAGCGGAAAGAGGAATTGGAGAAAAGGAAGTGGGAAGAAGCGGGGTATCCCCTTACGGATCTCAGGTTCATTAAAAAAATTTGGAGTTTATTCAACTTGGAAAATAAATACAAATCCCTGGGTGTGTGGGGGGGAAGGGCAGGAAGGGGAAGGAGTTTGTAGCCAAGGGGTGGGGGCGGACATCACAGTGCTCCCTCCACCCACAGTACCCTCGCAATCCCGGCGGCTGTGGGAAGGGGCCGAGGCGAGGGGACACTCAGCTGCGCAGGAACACCATGGTCAGAAGACCTGCGGAGAAGGGAAGGCGTCACGAGGGGCAGGGTGGTAAGGGCGGCCCTCCCCCGGTCCCCCTCCCCTTACCCAAGACGTAGGCGGCCGCCAGCTTCTGCCCCAGTGTGACGTGCAGGAGGCGGGGTAGCGGGCTCCCCACTTCGTCCTGGAGCGGCAGCAGCAGGAAGGTCACGGAGATGGTGCCGGTCAGCAGCAGGAGGAGGAAAGAGCTGGTGGCCAGTTGCGGAGGGGGACGCTGGGGAGCTGGGAAATAAGGCTCGTCAGGAAGGCCCCCTCTCCCCCCAGGGGACACGCACATGGCCCCTCCCTGTAGCCTCTGCTCCCACTCCCACAAACCCTTCTCTCCTCTGCCCCCTCAGCATCTTTCTCTGAGGTCTTGTCTGCTGAGTGCCTCTGTGCCTCTCTCCCACAGGCGGGGACTGCTGCCCCTCCCCCATTCCCAGGGAATACCTGGGCCGGCTGATTCCCCCCAGTTCCAAGTTTCTTTTTTTTTTTTCCTTTTTGGGTTACACCGGCGACGCTCAAGGGTTACTCCTGGCGGTGTTCGGGGGACCATATGGGATGCTGGGAATCGAACCCAGGTCAGCCACGAGCAAGGCAAACGCCCTACTCGTTGTACTATTGCTCCAGCCCATTTGGTTTGGTTTTAGGGGTCATATACAGTGGTGCTAAGGGCTTCCTCCTGGCTCTGCACAGAGACAGATAACTCCTGGCAGGTCTTGGGGAACCATACGAGGGGCTGGGGATCATCAAACCTGGGTGAGCTGTGGGCAAGGCAAATGCCCTGCCCTCAATCCAGGCTTCTGATGGAACACAACGGAGCGGGCTCAGGACCACATGCTCTGATTTTAGCACCACAGAAAAGCTTCTCCCTTTCCACAGAAGCCAGAAACACCCAGGGAATGGGCTGGTCTCCTCTAACCTGAGAGAATATCGCAACTCCTAGGAGAGCGCTCACTGGAAAGCACACTGTTTTAACCTCCATAGGAGTTAATGGCCCTCCCGTTGATCATCGATTTGCTCGAGCGGGCCCAGTAACGTCTCCATTGGAGACTTTGTTGTTACTGTGTCTGGCATATCGAATACTCTCGGTAGCTTGCCGGGCTCTCCGAGAGGGGCAGAGGAATCGAACTCGGGTCGGCCAGGTTGGCCGCTTGTAAGGCGAACGCCCTACCCGCTGTGAGAAATCTGCCTCCACCTCCCTGCAAGAATGCCCCCATGGAGGGAGAGAGGCTTCTGGGAGGGAGAGCAGACTTCCCATGCGGAACGCCCAGGCTCCATCCCATGGACCCCTGAGCATGGAGTCAGAGTAGCTCCTAAGTAGTACTGGGTGTGACCCCCAAAAACAAAAAACCTAGTTAGAATAAAAGAAGAATCACCCTCTCCCCACTCACTCTCCGGGAGGCGCCTGGCCGTGCTGGCGGGGGACGGTGTCCAGGAAGAAGGTCCTGGCTGGGGTGCTGGGCCAGCCTGTCCCTGAAGCTCAAGGGGGTGGGCGGGGCCGCGCAGGACCGAGGTGATGATCTTGCGCCCCACCAGGCGGCCCTCAGCGCCCTCCTCTGACAGTTCAATTCGGAAGCGGTCCTGGACATCATAGTGGCTGGGGATGGGGGCCACGTGACGGATGACGCTGGGCCCAAGACAGAAGGGCTGTGAGGCCCGGGGGTGCAGGACCTGCCCTCCCCAGAACCTCTCCCTTAGGGAAGCGGCCGGGCACGCAAAACGTGCGGCCTCTCCGCGAAAGCTGGGGCGCAAACCAGAGAAAGGGGACGACCACCCTGGCTCCTGCCTCCCACCTTCCAACTCACATGTCGATGCAGGACTGCGCCTTCACGTAGCCCTCGGCATCAAACACGGTGTACTTAGCCGGTGCCGTGCACAGGACTGAGGGGCAGAGAGAGGCAGGGGCTGAGACCTCCACAAGCACGTGTCCCCACCCCGACCCCCACCTCGCCAGGATCTCTGGGCTCCCTGCCGCCTGCGACTCCGGAGGCTGGGGACCCGGGCCGCCCCCATCTGACTACTGAATCCCCCCCACCCCGCAGCCCCAGCCACCAGCCCTCAGGTGCCCCGCACCCGTCCGGCCCTTCACCTCGGAAGCGAAGCGCAGCTCCCGTGGGGTTATAGAGGGTGAGCAGCTGCCGGTGTCCGCTTCGCTGGTCCGCCCAGAACACTAGATCCGGGGGAAAGACGAGCACCGGGACAACAGGTGCCGAGGGAGCAGGGGGGCCCCGGGACCCCCGCCCAGGAGCCGCTGGACCCTCGAGTTCCTGGTCCTGGAGCGCCCTACGGCGCATGCAGGCTCTGGGCGGTGGGACATCCGAGGGCAGAGCGCAGGGAACGGGGCCGGAGTTTCGCGCTGGGGGGGCGAAAGCACGAAAGGGAACGGGATGCAATCCTGGGCCAGGGCCAGGTGTGCCGGGCGCCGTCTACCGCCCACCAGCCCGGTCCAGGGCGCCGGGAATCCCTTAGGCCCCGCCCCCAGGACTTTTCCTTCCCACCTCAGAGGTCACGCCCACCCCCTAAACCCTGCCCCTCCCGGTTCCCACCCGGGCCGGGTCTCCGGGCGCGACTTCGGATCTCCCCCGAAGCTCCCGCCCCGCCTCTCGGGAGCCACGCCCCTTCCTGCCCGGGACTTCCGGGATCTCCCCCAGGCCCCTCTCACGGCCGCCGGCCTCCGCCCGAACAGCCCGCAGAGCCTGACCCCGACGTCGGCGCCTCCGATCCGCCTCTGAGCCCAGGCCCGTTCTCCTTCGCGCTTCCGCCTGGAGCAGGCCCATCTGCTGCGAGGCTCACCTTCTAGGCGAAGCGCCTAGCCGTCTACTTGGGGCGCCACTAGAGCTGCCATCTTCCCGGGAGGCCGCGTCTCTACTTCCGCCGTACGGCCGCTGCTATTGGCCAGGGCGCTGGGCTTCCGCCCCGGCTTTACTCCTAAGGACCTGATTGGCTCCCGCAGTGGAACCTGATTGGCGTCTTTGACTGTCACTCTAACTGGGACTAGCTCGGCGGGACTCGGGGCTGAGCTTTGTGCCTTCTTCCCCGCGCGTAGACCGTTTACTTTAAACAAATGCCCGGGGAAGCTCGCTCTCTTCCTCCCTTTCGCTCTCGCTCTCGCTTTCCTCCCTCGCTCTCCTCTCCTCTCCCTCCTCTCTCCTCTTTATCTCCTCCCTCCTCTCTCCCTCCCTCCCCGCGCTCCTCTTCCCCCCTCCCTTTCTCTCTCTGGTTTCTTGCACAACCAAGAGCCTTTTTTTTCCTCCTTTTTTTTTCTGTGCTACTTGGAAGTTGCTCACAGCTGGACTGAAATCTCAAGTCTCAGCCAGAGCTTCTTCCCGAGCCTCTCCTTCCTCCCTGGGACTCGGAATGTTTATTTGCACAAGGAACTAAGACTTAGCCAACCCTGTCATTTTAATTCCTGAAGACATGAGGAAAAACCTCCCTCTGGGTCACTCAGCTGGATAGCAGACGGGAAAAAAACTAAGTTGATGGGGCCCGGATTGATAGGAGCTAGGGCTAGGGGTGCTGACCCTGCATACAGTCAACCTGGGTTGAAACTCCTGCATCCCCTATGCTCTCCCGAGCCTTCAGGAGTGATCCCTGGCCCCCGAGCCAGGAGTATGCCCTTAGTGCCTCCAGGTGTGGTCCAAAAACAAAGCAAAAACATTGATCTTATCCCAAATTCCTCCTTGCTATCAATGTAGGCGCCCACCACCTGCCCCCTGCCTGCCCGCCTCTCTCTTACCCCACTTGTCTTGTTCATAGCAATTGGAATAAACAAATGAGTGACTAGGGTGAACTTTGAGCTGCTGGGATGGAAGGTTAGGCAAGCTGCCACTGGGAGGAAGTGGACTTTTCCTTGACCACAAACCATCTAGAGACAGGGCCCCAAGAGACAGCTCAAAAGGGCGGGAGCACATGCAAAGCAAGAGGGCTCAAATTGGATCCCAGCACTACATGGTCCAGAGAGACCCTTAGTGCCAAGCCAGTAGCCCCTGGTACATGGGCTGTGCCGCCAGCCTCACCCCCCAACACACACACACACACACACACACACACACACACGCAGCAAGGGAGACAGTGAATTGAGGTAAGGGGGAAGGCTTCAAGTCTGCTGATTGGTCTGGATCTCTGAGAAACTTGGGAGAGTTAACATTTTGGAAAACAGCTTTTATTGCGATACCTTTGACATACAAAAATACATCTAAGGTACACAACTTGATGTTCTGACAGATGTACTCATTGTGAACAGATCGCCACAATCAAGGGAATGAATAGATCCATCTGCATAGTCAGCAGGCCCGAGTGGGGTAGAATATGGTGAATACGGGAGTTTTGAGCACATGGGCTGGTGAGTTCCTAGTTACATTCTGAAAAGACTATTCCGTATGGGAAAAACCTGCATGACTAGAAATCCCTACGCTGGGGTCCCCCTCCAAACCCTAGACATGGAGATGTGACCCCTTTCTCGTTTAGTGGAATAAGAAAAGCGTCCCAGATACTGGCGGCTGGACTTGGGTCTCAGCCCTGGGACCGCGTGACCCTAAGAGATTGCGGGGGGCACTTTCTCTTGCTGAGGTTGGTGAGGATGGTGTCCTGGTTGTTCCGGTAGAGAACCACAAAGCTCTGGGGAGGAAGCACGGGCCGGTTCCCCTCCACCTGGCCCATGATCAGGTAACTGGCTCCTGGGGACGGGAGGGAGGAAGACTTGTTAGTGATCTATCATAATTAACACCTGATCCCTCCGTTTGACCATTTCCAACATTTTCAAGAGGCTGAGGGACCCCTTTTTATTTTCTTTTGTGGTTTTCGGGCCAGACCTAGCAGTGCTCAGGGATCACTCCTGGCAGGAATGAGGGGAGCAGAAAATGATGCATAGGGCAAGGCAAACACCCGAGCCCCTGATCTCTCCAGCCCATGCTCCCCCCCCCCCATCTTTCTTACCTTTCTTCATGGGGGGGCACTGCCTGCAGGGCACATGAAACTTCAGGGGAGCGTCAGTGGGGGGAGAGGGCAGGTCGAGGCCTCCATTTTTGTATACGTTCATGAGACTGACAGTGACAGTCAGACCGTCCCCTGGGCCCCGGACCACGGACTTCACGGTGGCCGTCACCACTGTGGGAGGGGGGACAGCGAAGGCGTCAGGAGGCCAGCACAGGGCTGGAGGCTGGAGGGGACATTGTGGGAGGGCGGGAGGCGCTGCTTACCCAGGCTGCTGCTACAGAGGTTGCTCTGCAGGGTGCCGCTCCGCCGGCACTGTTTGGGGCAGGGAACACTGGGTGTACCTAGGGTGGTGGGGAGGCTGTTCGTGGAGGAGACCCCCAGAGATCAGGACAGTTCCCAGGACAGCACGGAGGCTTGGGCTAGGCCTGGGCTGGCTCACAGTCTCTGTGCTGGGCCCTCACTTATGAAGTGATGTGCCTAGGTGGGTTCTGGGTAACCGCCCACCTCACCCCATTTCTCCCCTTTCCCACACTCACTGGGACCTTCAGGATTGGCCGCAGCCTCAGGTGTGGCCTTGGGTTTGGGTTTGGGTTTGGGGCCCGGTCCAGGCTTGGAGCCAGGGCGAGGGGCTGGAGGCCGGGGCAGGGCATCAGCTCCGGGGTTCAGGGCTGGGCCTTCCGCGGCACCTCGAGGCACCGTCCGGTAAGAGGCGGAGAAACCGTCAGCTGTGACACTGAGGTCAGAGACGAACTGGACCAGGAGTTCATTCCCATCGGAGGAAATGGGCCTGTGGGCACCAGACGGACATCAATGCTGGCCTCCAGGCGTGCCAGCGCCACCTGACCCCCCCCCCCCCAGCATTTGCATCCTCACTCTGGAGCCCCTCTGGGCTGCCTGAGCCCTCACCCTGGTGCAGTGTCCCCGCAGAACTTCCCCAGTCGCTTGGCGTCGTCGGTCACTGCCCCATTAAACACACTGACCGAGTCATAACGGCAGTAGGTGTCAGGCTCCAGATCGAACTTCCCGAAGGTCAGCGTGATGACCTGCCGGCGGGGGTACGGGGAGGCTGCGCGGGGGGGCCCCCAGCACCTCCCGCGCCTTCCCTGGCACGCACCCTGGCCCGCACCCCGTCTCCCTTGGGATTTCACTTTTGCTTGCTTGTGTGGGGCCCACACCCGCCAATGCCCAGAGCTGACTCCTGGCTCAGTGCTCAGGGAAGCACTGCTGGCGGGGCGGGGGGGACCCTGCGCAGGGTCGGTACCTGGTCTTGGGGCGCTATGATGTGCCAGGAACAGCTGATACCCGCGGGGTAATCGGACTCGGGCCAGTTGGGCGTGGTCAGGGTTCCTTGGGCCTTCTCCAGGCGCCCCCCGCAAAACTGGTGCTCTGGGGGAGGGGAGAGCGGCGTGGGGGGCGGTGGAAAGCCTCCAGCACCCCTCGCCTTTGGGGGGGCGCGCGCAGGAAGCGGGGCAGCCTGGGTCTCCGGGGGAGGAGACGCAAGGGCGGGCTGGGCAGCAGAGTCGGGATGAGGTTAGCGGACCGGCCAGCCGGGCCGGGAGAAGCGGGGCTCGCACAGCCCGAGCGCGGGGGCGGGGGGCGGGGAGCAGGCACAGGCGGGAGTCCCCCGCGCCCTTCCTGCCCGCCCTGGGCCGCGGCCACTCCGCCCCTTTCCCCTGCGGATCCCATCTCCCCGGCCCGGCACAGAGCCCCGGCGAGCCCGCGGGGGTGCCCTGGCTCCGGGGCGCCGCCTCCCTCCGAGGCTCCGCGCGGGGAGGTCCCCGACGTAACACACTTGAGGGGAGACGTCTGCCGCCGGGAGCGGGTGATGGGACCGCAATCGGGAGTCCAGGGACGGGTGTCGGGGGGCTCGGGCCGGAGGGGGGGGCGCCGAGTCCGCCCCCCCAGCCCGGGTGCCCCCCGGACGCCCGTCGGAGGAAGCCCGATTGCGGACGGGGCGGGCACTTACTCACCGTCCCAGTAACCCCAGGCCGCCCATTCCACCCGCGGGTCGCTGACCCATTTCCGCCTCGCGCCTGGGGGGGGCCCTGGAAGACGGGGTGGGTGGGGGCGGGAGGAGGGGAGAGAAGACGGGGAGGAGGGACTGGAGGGGCAGTTAGTGCAGGAAACGGGGTACAGGGGTTACTCCTGGCTCTGCACTCAGAAATCACCCCTGGCGGTGCTTGGGGGGGACCATAGAGGATGCTGGGAATCGAACCCGGGTCGGCCTCATGCAAGGCGGGCGGGCGACGGGCCCCCGGCTCCGCGCGGGGCGGGACGGGGCGGGGCGGGGCGGGGCGGGGCGGGACGGGGCGGCGGCCAGGCGAGCTCACCAGTGCCCGCGGTGGCCCGCCCGCTGTACCAGAGCAGGAAGCCTCGTCCTCCCGTGCCCTCGTCTGTCGTCATCCTCAGGGTCACCTGGTGGCCGGGGGCGACGACGGGCGCCGGCCGGAAGGTGCCGCAGAAGCGGCCGAGTCGTTGGCCGGTGGTGTCCGCCCCGGCGAAGACCTCCAGGGCGTCATAACGGCACGCGGGGTGCTGCTCTAGGTCGAAGACGCGGAAGGACAGGGACACCTTCTGGCCCTCGGGGACCTGGGCGGGTGGGGAGGTGGGGGACAGGGGCCCGCCCGCAAAGTCAGGCCGAGTCCCTGTCCCCGGGGCACCTACAGAATCAGCTCATGAGGGAGGAAGGTCTGGGTGGGTGTGCAGAGTTCCCCCGTGGGCAGGGCAGCAAGGGTCCAGGTGGACATTGTATGTGGTGTGGAGGTGGGAATGGAGAGTTTTGGGGTTTGGGTTTTTTTTTCTTTTTTCTTTTTGGGTCACACCCAGAGATCCTCAGGGGTTACTCCGGGCTCTGCAATTCAGGAATAACTCGTGGCGGTGCTCTGGGGACCAGAGGCTTGCCAGGGTGTGAACCCTGTGGACTGCGTGCAAGGCAGATGCCTGACCCCGTACTGTTGCTCTGGCCCTGAAGGGGAGTTTTTTTTCTTTTCTTTTTTTTTTTTTTTTTGCTTTTTGGGTCACATCCAGCGATATACAGGGGTTACTCCTGGCTCTGCACTCAGAAATCACCCCTGGCGGTGCTTGGGGGGACCATATAGGATGCTGGGAATCGAACCCAGGTCGGCCGCAGGCAAGGCAAACGCCCACCCTACCCGCTGTGCTATCTCTCCAGCCCCTGAAGGGGAGTTTTGATGGTATGAGTTAAGCTGTGTGGACATGTGCTATGGGTTATGTTGGTCACTGAGTCCATCAGTGACCAGCCAGGAGGGGGCTGGATAGTCCCAGATTGAAGATGGGGGGTGCTCAGGGGTTGGAGGGGCCCCTTAGCAAGGCCTCTGGCTGCCATGGAGGAGTGAGTAGTGACTGGGGGAGGAGGTGGCTTCTCACCGTAACTGTCCAGACGCATTCCTTATTGGGGGGGTAGAGGTTGGGGAAGCCCTCGCTTGCCACGTACCCTGATTCCCCAGACAACTCTCCTCCACACAGGAACACGGGTCTGCAGGACACAAAAGGGTGGGGATGCTGGAGTGACGCCCTGAGTACCAGAGGCCTAGGGGAGTCGGGGGCTGGCACCCTCTGACAACAGTCACCAGGATCGGGATGGGGAAGACTCCAGGAAAACTTGGGGCCAGGAAAAAAAAAAGTTCAGGGAAGATCCGGAAGGAAGAAAGTGGGGCCAGCTGTCTCCTCACCACCTCCCCCCAACAGGAATTCCCGGAATCCTCCTCAGGGGGCCCCCCTTCCTCTCTCCCTTCCTCCCGCCTGGCTGGCGGTGGGGACAGGAGCCGCCTAACTACTTCCAGATGCAGACACAGCCACGAGGCGGGCGGGGGAGGGGAGCGCCCGCCGAGGGCCCTCCAGCTGAACCTGGACCCGGGCCTCTGCCCGCTCCTGTTCCACATCCCTCAGGCAGCCGCCTCCCCCTTGCTGCCCGCCGCTTCCCCTCGCAGCCTCGCTCCCTCCTGGAATCCAGATGTCCAATTCCCAGGCAAGTTCAAGGTCGGGTGTGCTCAAGCTCCACGGGGGGCCCCTGAGGGTCTGAGTAGCTGGGGCACTTGGGGGTCGGGGGTGGGGGCACAGTGAACATGTGGGGGGGACTCAGGGGCCAAGGAAAGGGCGTGGGCTGGGGGAGACCTAGGTGGGGGGCACGTGAGCCAAAAAAATCCGCAAACCCCACGGCTCTGACCTCCCTGGACTTTTGAAGCTCATCAGGTTCCGAAGGTGCTGAGGGACCTACCTGGTGTAGTTGGGGTTCTGGCCCTGGGCGAAAGGCAGCAGGGCACAGGCGGCAAGGAGGCGCCCCAGGAGGGAGGCTGTGGCCGGAGGCAGCATGGTGGGGGGAGAGGTGCCGGGTCCGGTGGCCGCAGCAGCTCAGCCTGCAGCCTCGGCAGCAGCAGCTCGGAGATAATCCGTGCCAGACGGGTGTGGGCGTGGGGATGGCCGGAGGGGCGGGCAGCAGGGAAGGCGGGCGGGAGGAGCGAGAGGGACAGTGTGGCAAGTCCATCCCAGGCCCTCTCTGGGTCCCACACAAATAATGACCAAAGTCCAGGGTGGAGCCATGAGGGGCCCCGGAAGTACCAGCCATCACCTGGGTACCAAGTCGTGTCGTCTGAAGCGCCGCCCAGCAGCCTGCCAATACAGCCTCGTTCTTCCCAAAGATTCTCTTGCATATCCCCCCAATCCCACCCTCCCACCTCCACCCCCAATCTCTGCTCACCACCCCAGGTCCTCACCACCCCATTTTTCTGCTTACGTTCCATTTTCGTCTACCCCGGCTGGCAGGACTAGGTGCAGGAGTGGGGTACCAGGAGGGAGGGAAGCTGAAAGGGAGAGTCTCCCCCTACTGAGGCAAGAAGAAAGCTGGGGTGGGGGAAAGGACATGCGATAAGGGTGGGGATGATGCTCTAGGAGGGACAGGAAGGAGCCGGAAGCCTCTTCTTTAGGCTGGAGGAAGGCTGGAGGAAGCGGGTTTTGGAGGGGGGAAGGGGTTATACCTGGGAGACGGAGGCTCCAAGGAGATCACGAGCCTCCTGGTCCAGGTGAGGCTCCCCATCAAGATTTGGGGAGGCCACACCTCTGCGGCCACTCAAGGCTACAGCACGGCCCAGTCCAGGCCTGTTTTCCTCTAGCCCAGGCAGGGGACCCCCAGCTCTGTCCTGGGCTCCTCACAGACCCAGGGTTCCAAAGAGCCTCATTTCAGCCTTTTATTCTATTTGTCCATCAAATCTCTTTGTCCATGATAGTCAGGTTGGGGTCCCCTCCTGGGCAGCCCCCTGAATATTTTACAAAATGGTTCCCTGCCCAACCCTGGTATGTCTAGCAGCCCTCACCCACCCCCCCCACACTGGAACCCTCCCCCATGCACAGTGCTCCTCGTTACTCTTCCAGCTCTCCTTGCCCCTGGCTTGTGGGTGAGGTGGAAGAGGGGGCGTCAGCTCTCGGGGGTGGAGGACTCTGGGCCACCCCCGCTGGCCGCCCTCTGCAGCATGTCCAGGGCCTCCCAGAAGAAATCCTTCTGGGCCGCCAGCAGCGGCATCCAGCCCACAATCTCCTTCATCTTCTCCATGCGGTCTTGCAGCGTTGGACAGCTGTGGATCTGGTTGAGGTACTCCTCGCAGGCCCGGGCAGTGCCCCCGGGGTCCTGGGGTACTCCAGTGCCAAGGCTGTGCTCGGGGGTCGCCACCACCCTGCTGGCTGGCAGGTCCCGATAGGTGAGATGGTGCTCGATGTCATGGCTGGACAGCAAGTAGAGACAGTCACGGCTGGAGCAGAGGGCGCAGGCGCAGAAGGGGACCTTGGGGAACAGAAGGGGCTGTCTGAGGCAGGGGGAGGGTGTCCCAGGAAGCCCCACTGTGTTAGCCTGGAGCCAGCAGGTCAGGCGGGGCCACTGGGTTGGCTCCAGGAAGGGGTGGAGAAGCGGGGCCCGAGGGCCTGTTGCAGTCCTGTGGGCTGCCTGGCCCCATGGCACCTCCTGCCCACTCGCCTGGCCCTGCGCTGACCTTCACTTGGAGCTTGACGAACGATGCGCTGCCCTTGGGCCAGCCCGGCAGGCGGCCGCCAGCCCCGCAGCCACAGCCCAGCAGCTCCTTGCTGAAGTCTGAGCCATGGCTCAGCACCAGCGAGTTGTTGAGGCCACACCACAGGGCGATGGGGCGCTGCAGATAATGCACCTGGGGACACAGGGCCAGGTCCCTCAGCGGGGGACGCCAAGGGACGGAGACCCAGCTCACGAAAGAATCTAGGGGAGACCTGGGGCCCATCCTAACCCCGCCCCTCCTCCCCTTCTCCTCCAGGAAGGCTGCCCTGATTGCTGAGTGCCGCTCAGACTCCCCGTGTTAGCTGAGCACCTGTGGCATTCTCTTCTTTGCAGCCATCCTGCTACTTGCTGACCTTGCTGTCCAGGCCCAGCCCTCCCTCTTCCCAAAGCTTCTGGCCTTCCTTGTCCCTGTGCAATCTGAGGTGAGTCCCAGGAATGACTTCTTGCCTTTCCTCTCAGTGGTTTTCAACATTTCTATACCTGCAGACTGCCCGGCCCATCGCTAAGAGCCTCTGCTCTATCCTCTGTTATCTTATAAGACACCCGACCCTGGGGCTGGAGAGATGGTACAGGGCGGAAGGCACCTGAGGCCGTGCCCTGTGGCCAGCCTGGGTTTGATCTGCCAAATCCCAGAGGATCCTCCAGGCCCCTCCAGGGGTGATCCGTGAGGAGAGTCAAGAGTAAGCCCTGAATACACCAGGTATGTCCCCCAAAATGGTGAGCCTCAAGAGATGTACAGTGGGCAGGATACTTGCTTTGCATGAGGCCCACCTGGGGTTTGATCTCTGGCACCCCATACAGTCTCGGAGACCTGCCATGAGTGATCTTTGACCGCAGAACCCTGAACATCACCAGTTGTGGCACAAGACAAAAATGGCAACCCTATTCTGAAAATACATGTCCACGAGGTCCCTGCCCTGAGCAGTGTGAGGGAGGAAACGTCCCTTTCCCGCCGTCACCAATGCCCGTCTCTCCTGAACTTTCTTTTGATCTGGTTCCTCTCCCTGCTATGCTGACGTATCTTATCCAAAGAACACCTGATGCTCTGGCGCCGAGTCCTCCTCAGCCCCCTCCTGGCGCTCAATCTGCTTTCCTTTTGCAGACAAAGCTAAGGAGAAACATCATCATGACACAGGAAAGCAGAAATGAACTTAGAAGTGACTGAGTGGCCCATCTGTTTTGCTGGATATTCTTTTTTTGTGTGTGGGGAGTACCCTGCCCTGCAATGCCTAGGCTCTGCACTCGGAAATTACTCGTGCTGGGGGGTGGGGGGAAACCATGAGATGCCAGAAATGGAACTCAACAATTGGCCGTGTGCAAAGACAAGCACCCTACCCAACTATACTATCCATCCCCCTTGTTGGATATTTTTATATCCACAGGTATATATTTTTCAACAAAAAAAGTCATGGGGCTGAAGTGATAAAATAGTGGGGAGGTGTCTGCCTTGTATGCAGCCAACCGGGGTCCAATCCCCTACATCCCGTATGGTCCCTTGAGACTGCCAGAGTGACTCCTGAGTACAAAGCCAGAAGTAACACTGAAGCATCTCTAGGTATGGCCCGCCAAGTAAACAGAGACCTGAGCACAGATGGATGTGCCCTCCCCAACACACACACAACCCAAAACCACAAAAAAAACAGGTATTTCCAGGAAGGAACCTCGAACAGAATCACTGTATATGACCCCAAACTGGGTGTAATACTAAAACTGGGTGTGGCACATTGTGACACTGGGTGTGACACACATAAAAAAAAAAAACTAAAAAACGTGGAAGCATACTGTGTAACCAAATGTTTATTTTCTCTTGATGGGGCTGGCAAGACAGTACAGAGGGTATGGTGCTGGCCTTGCCATCCCTGAAAACCCGGGTTCAATCCCGGCGTCCCATATAGTCCCCCGGGCAGCATCAGGATTTCTGAGTGCAGAGCCAGGAGTCACCCCTGAGCATCGCAGGGTGTGATCCCAAAAGTACTGTACTGTACAGTCCTCCCAGTGTTCATCGATTTGCTCGAGCGGGCCCAGTAAGTCTCCATCGTGAGACTTGTTGTTACTGTGTTTGGCATATTGAATACATCACGGGTAGCTTGCCAGGCTTTGCCGCGCGGGCGAGATACTCTCAGTAGCTTGCCAGACTCTCTGAGAGGAGCGGAGGAATCGAACCCGGCTTGGCTGGGGCCGGCTGCACACAAGGCAAACGCCCTACCGCTACCCTATGCCCTACTCCGGCCTGACCCCAAAAGTAAAAAACAAAAACAAACAAACACCAGATCTTTATTTTCTCTTGCAAATGTCTCCTGAGGCTTTGGGTGACAGCTCAGGGACCTCTGTGAAAAACCCGTGGCTTTTGCCTTTAGCTTCTGGAGGGTGTCTGCCTCGGGGTGGGGGGGGGGGGGTGGCTGCCTCGTTTTCCAACTTGCCTTCATGCCCCTGCCCACAGTGGGGTCACTGTCCAGGGTGGCTCCATGACTTTCCCATCTAGGTCTACCCTGGCACTGTACTGACGTCTAGAGTTCCGTTTTAGTGGCCCAGTCTCACGCTAAGAGCCCAAAGTCAAGCTCCTGAGCCTGTGGCACTCACAGGTGATGGTGGCTGCTGTCCCTGCTGTCCACAGGATTCCTGGCCAGCATCATCACCATCCTACCTGCTACGCTCACCTCCAATCCATTTCCAGAGCCTATTCGTTTTCTCAGCAAACCTCTTACGTGTCCTTTCCTTCCTGGCAGCCACAACGACAGCCCCTGGCCTGGTCTTAAGTGACACCATTACTGACCAGTGTCCTGGGGCTCTTAGTGTGGCTTCCTGGGTGCTGCTGAGGGGCCAGAGTCATTCACCCGAGGGGACCGCCCATCCTGCTCCGGGAGCTGGGAGCATTCACTCCCACATGCTGTTCCCTCCTGGGGCTGGTCTCTGACTGTCCCCAGCTCAGAATGGGGCACACTGAGTCACTGTCCACATTACCCAGCAGGCCTCTCTCTCTCTCTCTCTCTCTCTCTCTCTCTCTCTCTCTCTCTCAGCTCACATCCGTCCCTTTCCCACTTCTGCCCCGTCCCCGCCTCCCACCCACTGCATTCCTATAGTGAGACACCAGGTCTACACACAAGGGACTTACTAATCTAATGCCACCTCTGGGAAAGACACAGGCGTTACCCAGGGCTCAGCTCTGGAGGGAGAGAGAGAGAAGAGGGGGGGAGGGAGAGAGAGAGAGGAGACAGGGAGAGAGGGAGAGAGAGGGGGAGAGAGGGAGGGAGGTAAGGGAGGGAGGGAGGGAGAAAGGGAGATAGAGAGGGAGAGAGAGAGAGAGAGAGAGAGAGAGAGAGAGAGAGAGAGAGAGCACGCACTTGAGAGAGTGCCATAGCACTGGACTCTGAGCCGGGCCGAGCAGGAAGGGAATGAATGGCTGGGCAGTATTCAAACCTGCGTGGGCTCTCCTCGGTCCATTTTGTCGCCTGTCCCCAGCTGTCCATATCTATTATTTCCCTGCATAAAGATTCGGCCAAATTCATCCACCAGGCCCAGGTGATTGTAGCCAAGTGAGCAGAATAGAACCTAGGTGAGACAGAGAGCGGGTGTGGACACGCAGCAGTCCCCCCCCCGCCCCAAGGAGTTCGGAGCTCCCAAGTCTTCCAGCTGCTCCTCAGCCCCCTCCCCGACTAAGCCCTCCCGGAGCCCCTTCCCCCTGAGAGCCTGTCCCTCCCCCCTCTCGCCCATCTTTCCATCCCGACAACTGCTGCCCTCTCTGGCCTGTCCACGTCCCCCAACCTACCTTGGCGGGCAGTGAGAGGGCAAGAGGCATCTGTTGGTCCAGGGGATCAAAGGCTTGAAGGGTCCCAAAGAGATCACGATACACCCCTGGGGTATGCACCTCAAAATACACTCCCCCCTGGTCTGGGGGGTCGGGAGCCCTCAGTTCAGCAGCCTTGGGCACCCATTTCCTAGGGAGCAGGCCCTACCCAGGAGCCAAGCAGCAGGATGGGGGGGGGCGCGGGGGTGTCTCCCACCCACACGAGGCGAAGCACCGGCTCCACTGTGCAGGACACTCGGATGCCCTATGGGGTGTGCGGGAACGGTGCGGGGGCCGCTCTCTTACCCGTGATGTACAGGGTGCTGCTCTGGTTGGAGGCCATGCGGGCCACGCGGAGGTGTGGGAGGCAGCGTGACACCTTCCTCAGTGCCAGTTGCACCGTGTAGGAGCGAGGCTGGTCCAGCTGCGTCTCATTCACCACCAAAGAGTAGATCTTCCCTTCCTCTGGGGGGTGGGGGGTGCGGGCAGACAGTGATGGGGCTGCCAGGGACTCCAACTGAGACTTCTACTGGCCTAGAAAATCTCTAAGCTCGGGGGCCAGAGAAACAGTACCGTGGGGGAGGGCGCTGGCTAAGTTGTAGGTGGCCGACACAGGTTCGATCCCCGCCACCACATGCAGTTCCCCCTGCCCCCCAACCCCGAAATGATCCCTGTCAGAAATGATCCCTGAGTGCTGAGCTAGAAGTCAGCCCCGAGCACAGCCAGGTATGCTCCCAAAACAAGCACGGTAGCACTGTCCTCCCATTGTTCAGCGATTTGCTCAAGCGGGCCCAGTAATGTCTCCATTGTGAGACTTGCTGTCGCTGTGTTTGGCATAACGAATACGTCACGGATAGCTTGCCAGGCTTTGCCATGTGGGTGAGATACTCTCGGTAGCTTGCTGGGCTCTCTGAGAGGGGCGGAGGAATCGAACCCGGCTCTGCCAGGCTGGCTGCCTGTAAGGCAAATGCCCTACTGCTGTGCTATTGCTCCAGCTCAAAACAAGAAAAGAGAAAAAAAAAAATCCCCCAAGCCATATGAGATGAAATTATTGCCCTGGAGTGGGGTGCAAGAAGCAGAAGCCAAGGTCACCCGACTCTAGCCCCTTACTTCTGAGAATAAATCTGGGCCACCCTCCTGCCAGAGGAAAGCTAGCAGTGCAGACTCGGCGGAATCAAATGGATCTGCTGGGAATGGCGGTGTCTGGGGAGTCAGGTCCTCCACCTGGCATTAAGAAGTCCAGAAGGTGGGCTGGGGAGGTAGTCCAGTGGGTAGAGCGCTTGCCTTGCATGTGGCCAACCTGGGTTGCACCCCTTATGGTCCTGAGCCCCGCCAAGTGTGACCCCTGAGTGCAGAGCCAGGGGTAAGCATCACCAGGTGTGTGCCCCCCCCAACAAAAAGGTCTCAGACGGGCGCATGTGGTAAAAAAATCAAGGAGGTCCCCGAGAAAGCGGAGGGGCAGATTGGGGTACAACTGATGTGAAAGGCTGGGGAGACTTGAACTTGAAAAAGCAGGCACAGTCTGGGTTGACAGTACAGCTGCTGACCCTGATTCAATCCCTGGCACCCCATATGGTTCCCCAAGCATTGCCAGGAGTGATCCTTGAGCGGAATCAAGCAGAAGCCTTGAGCACAGCTGGGTGTGGCCCAGAAACAAAAACAAACAAAAGATCAGCTCAGTGGCTTTCAGATCATCTTTCACCCTTTTAACTTGGGGGGAGGGAGGTGGACAGATGGTGGTGCTCAGGGGACCCTTCCTGTGGTGGAGGGCTTGAAGCCAAGGCCCCTTGCAAGCAAAGCACCTGCTTGGCCTTTTAAGCCTCCTTCCCAGTGAGGCCCTTTATTAACTGAAATATGCAGAGCCCCGGGCTAGTTACTGGTTTGAGAAAGTGATGAGGTGGCCCTGGGCCCCTTTCCTCCTCCCCCGCCCCTGCCCTGCCTGGCAGGTACCAGGCAGCAATTTGCAAACCACAGTCGGGGCCCACCTGTGAGGAGCAGCAGCGCCCGCTGTGCCTCCTGGCCCACCAGCACAATCTGTTTAAAGCTCATAGAATGGTGGAAGGTCATCTTGAAGACCCGCTGGCCACTGGACTGCAGATAGACCTCCACGCAGTCACACGCTCGGCTGCCAGTCGTGCCCACCACTCCTGGCTGCTCCCGAGTGGCCAAGACATAGAGGTATTTCCGGTAAACGGTGTCACATCTCGGGTCCGAGGCAAACTGGGAAGAGACGAAGAGGGCAGGGTTGCTGGAGTGGGATGGGGTTTTGGGGACACCAGAGCAGGGGAAGTTGAGAGTCTTGGGCCTGGGGCTGAGAAATGACATGTCTCCTGGGCCACAGATTACAGGGGGCGAAGTCCTTGCTTGCACATGGCTCACCCTGGTTTGATGCCTGGCACCATATATGGCCCCCTGAGCACTGCTAAGGGTCGCTCCTGAGCACAGAGCCAGGAATCGCCTTGGAGCACTGCTGGGTGAGGCCCATCAACCAACACTCCCCCCTCCCTACCCCACCCCCAGAAAACAGCATTGTTTGATGAGGGCTGGAGAGATAGCACAGAGGTGAAGACACTTGTCTTTCTATGTATATAGTGGCTGACCCGGGTCCAATCCTCAGCCCTGTGTCGGGTTCTCTGAGCCCTACTAGGAGTAAGCCCAAGCACTGAGCCAGGAGTAGCCCAGAAGCACCACTGGGTAGGATCCTGAGACAAACTAACATCTGGCCTCTGGTGTGGGAGGGCAGGACTTATAAAGGTCTGGGTCCCGGGGCTGGAGCAATAGCACAACGGGGAGGGCATTTGCCTTGCAAGTGGCCGACCCGGGTTCGATTCCCAGCATTCCATATAGTCCCCTGAGCACCGCCAGGAGTAATTCCTGAGTGTATGAGCCAGGAGTAGCCCCTGTGTATCGCCGGGTCTGACCCCAAAACAAAACAACAACAAAAAATAAAGGTCTGGGTCCCCAGGGGAGGGGCAGATTTGCAGCGGGCGAGGGCACTGCCACTCACATCTTTGGCGCCACGACACAGCACAACGTAGCGGCAGGCTCGTTTCCACTGGATCTGGCCAAGGGTGGAGGAGACCAGGGCATTCTTGAGGAAGAAGAGGGTGCCGGCATAATCGAGAATGAAGACGTGGTCCTTGGTGGGTAAGAAGCGGCGGTAGCCATGGGCTAGCAGGGGGGCTACGCTCTTGTTCAGACAGCGCCGGCGGCCCCCAAACGCCTGGAAGTACAGGCCCTTTGTGTCTGGAGAACGGAAGGAGGTGGAGATTGCAGGGTCCAGTGACACCACAAGGAAATCCATTTGTACAAACTAGGTTCCACGCCATCTGGTAATGGGGGTGGGGGTCACCCACTGGTACTCGGGAGTCAGTCTCGTGGTGCTCAGGGAACCATGTGGCACCAGGGATCAAACCTGGGGCTCCCGCATGTAAAGCGAGTACTCCAGCCCTTTGAATCACCTCTCCGGCCTGGAACTTCACCCTTCCCCGGCCCAGGACCCGCGAGCAAGCCCCTTCCAAAGGACCTACGGGAAGCTTGGAAGGCACCCCTAATTCTGCCTGAACTCTCTGGTATCAACATAGGAAAGAGCAGAGGGGTGTTCCGGGAAGGACCTCACCCCCCACTCTGGAGCTCTTCTCTGGACCCCTCCCCCAGGCTGGTGGTTAGACAGGGATGGAGTTTAGAGGATATTTTCCAACTGGGATGAGAGATTGTTCCCCAGAGAATATTGGTTGTCCTGGTTGGAGGACATGCTATTGGCATTAAGTGGGTAGAGGCCAGGATGCTTCCCAATATCCTCCATCAGCCCGATAACCCCCCACGGTAAGGAAACATTTGGTCCTAGATGTCACTGGTGCAAATGTCAATGCAGTAGTGGGGCACCAGCTGGAAGAGACTGGGGGAGACTTAGAGAACTCCTAGGTGTGGGGCCTGGGGGGTACGTGTTTAGCAGGGGGGGTGGTTGTCTGATTCCAGTTTCTTCCCGGGATGAGGGCGGGGGGGGGGGGGGTCAGGGCCGGCCGGCTGGGAGGTGTACAGTTTAGGATGGCGGCTCTCTTCCAGGGCCGGAGCCCGGGAGCCTGTTCTCGGAGCCGGGGGCTGAGCCTCTGGCAGATCCTCCTCCACACGCCCTCTGTGTCGCACACTTCGTGGAAATAGTGGCACGTCTCGCCGAGTGCGACCACGTCTCTGACCGGCAGGAAGGAGATGATGTGCTCCACCTGGGGGGCAGGAGGGAGGACCTGGGGATCACAGAGGGTCCCCAATCCTTTCCTTGATATTTCTATTCCCCCCTTTTGGGAGGGAGCCACACCCGGTGGTGCTCAGGGCTGGCTCCTGGCTCGGTACTCGGGTCACACTTCAGGCAGGCTCAGGGACCATCTGGGGTGCTGAGGGGGTCCTACCTGGGTGAACTGCGTGCAAGGCGAGCACCTCCCCGCCGTAGCGGGACGATCACTCCCGCCCCTCACTCCTCCCTATGACCAGGACTCACCAGCTCAGGGGGGAACAACTGAACCGAAATAGGGTTCCCTCTGCCCCTCTTCTCTTCATTCCCGGGTTCTGGGCCGCAAGAAGGGCAGCTCCGCTTGACCTGCCCAAGGAGAAGGGGTGCACAGGGGTTCTGTGAGGGCGTCTCAAGCTTTGCTCTCTCCTTTCCCTTGACTGTCTTGCTCCCACTACGATCTGGGGGTGGGGTGGGGAGCTCAGAATTCTGAACCCCCCCCTCACCCTGAGCCCCTCTTCTCGTCTGCACAGCGCGGTGCATCTGGGCAGCTTCCGTCTCCGGCTTCTCCTCACCATCCCGCCTGCTCCCGTCCTGCCCCCCTCATCTCTCTGGGCCCCTTGGCCCCTGCACTCAGCTCCCCAGCTCCTGCAGCGTTTCCCACACCATGATCCCAGCTTGGACTTAGGGCACCTCATGGGCCCCTCCCTCATGGAGTCTGGGGCTGACAAGTCTCTCTGTGACCTCACTGTCCGGCCACTGTGACCTATTTTCCCCCATGCAATTGACCGAAGAAATGAAGGGCTACCTGCAGGGCCCTAGGGGGGTATTCCCACTGACAGGGCCTGGTGGCACTAAGCCTGCTGGGTAATAGGGGTAAATTCTTGACATTTGGTAGGCCAGGGCCTGGGGGTGGGTGTAGGGGGCCTAGCTAAATGACCACTGGGCACCAGTGCTTGCACCCCAATGAGAGGGAAACAATTCAGTGCAAACTCCTTGAAAAACTCATATTTGCAGGCCTGCTGCCTTCCAGGACAGGAGAAAGCTGTTGCTTAGGTCAAGGGGCAACACAGGCCAGGAAGGAGGGTGGGGGGCAAGTGTACCCGGGCAATCTTCCAGCCTAAGACACTGACCATGCTTGTGGGGGAAAGGGGTGACATTTAGGACCAGGAGGTGGTGTTGATTCCACACCCCAAAAGACACCAGGTGGCTCAGTGAGGGGCTCCCTGGTGCAAGCCCCTGGACTCCCAGGCACTGGAAATCAGCTAGCTGGGGGAAACCCCAGCCGCAGTTTTAGTAGTTCAAGGCAGGTTTCGGGAAATCAACATCTATCTGGGCGAGGACTTAGGAGGAAGAAAGTCTGATGACCGCCAGGGGCCTCTGACCTCCGCAGTACAGAGCGAAGGCTCAGGCCTCCTCTAGTTTCCGGGTCCCCAGTGTCCTGCGTAGAGGCCAGGGGTGCTGCGTGGGGGGAAAGTCCCCCTTGACGGAGCAGGGGAGGAGGGGGTCCTCCCTGGACCCCGGCCCTGTCCGCCTCGCCAGGCGCGTCCCGGGACTCGGGGAAGCCGCCGTGTGCGACCGGAGCACGATCCTGGAAGTCGCTGCTTAGGCGTGTCCTGGCTCCGCCGACTCTCTCACGCCCTCCGAGCCGCAGGCGCCCCAGGCTCCAGATCGCGCCCAGTCCAGCCTCTGCTCTGCTCCCGGGCGGCCAGCAGCGCCGCGCTCTCACTTTGTTACTCTGTCTCAAAGTTCTAGCTCACCCGCCTCCTCCTTAGCGAAGGGACCGCCTTCTCGCCCATGCTATTGGTAGGTGGCGCCGTCCCTCAAGAGAAGAGGCCGAGCCAGCTTCCCGCTGGAGGCTCTAAGAGGCCGTCTGAACAGTCACTCGTCCACATCTGGCTCACGATTGGTCCTCGCTGGAAAAGGCCTCGCGAGCGTCTAGTTGGGGCCCCGGCGTCCCCGCCTCCCGCTTGGATGTGATTGGCTTCATCTCCAGCCGCGAGCATTGTGATTGGGCGCAGCTGCGAGGGGCGGGTCGGCCTGCCGCGCCGGCCGTTGGCGAACGCTCTGTTCTGGCGCCCCGCCCTTCGCGCGACTCTCGCCGGGCGGCGGAGTCTCAGCCTCTGATTTGCCACTTGCGCCGCGTCTCGGGACCGCGATTGGTCGGCCGCGTCCCTCGGCCCGATTCCGTCCCCTCGGAGCGACTACGGCGGCCCCGAGGAGGGGGAGGGGGCGGGAGGGACGGCCGGTGCCCGTCAGTCAGGCAACGGGAGCCGCCGGGAGCGGATGGCGGCGGTGGTAGCGGCCCCACTCGCCGCCGGGAGTGAGGAGGCGGCGCCCGCAGCTTCCGTTCCCGGAACTCTGGGGCTGCCGGGGAGCCGCAGTGCAGAGCGGGCCCTAGAGGAGGCCGTGGCCACCGGGACCCTGAACCTGTCCAACCGGCGCCTGAAGCACTTCCCCCGGGGCGCCGCCCGCAGCTACGACCTGTCAGACATCACCCAGGCCGGTGAGTGCGCCCGGCCCCCGCGCCGACCCGGGCCCTCATTTGCATAGCCCCGCCCCGCGCCGGTCTCTCCCGCGGCGGGGGCTCGGCCCGCCCCTTCACCTGGCTGTCGGGGTTCTGGACCCCTCCGATCGACGTCAGCCGCCGCCCCCCCCGGCCCCCTCTGTTTTGGAACTTCTGGACAATGAACGCGCTGCTCGTTGGCACCGAACGCTCAGCTCCTACAGGCCGGGCTTGGCGCCTCGCCCCCCGTCCCAGCCCCGCGCCCCGCGTCTCCTTCTTGGCGTCTCCGCGCACCTGTAGCGCGGCCCGCCTCTCACCTGGGCGGCTCTTTGGCATCAGCTTTCCCACCCTGGGTTCGGATCGTTCCCCCTCCTCTAGTGAGGCCTGGCTCTGTCTCCGCTTGGTCTCTGCCTCCAGCCGCCCGAGCGGTGGTCCCCGCCCGAGCTTGCCCCCGACAGCCTGATGTGTGTGCTCACTTGGCCCCGTCCCCCGTCCCCGGGCACAGGCCAGCGCCTCCATTTACTCTGCCAAACCTTCCAGCCCTCGCTCCAACGCCCCCACCATGATCTCTGCACCCCTTCTCCCAGGCCGCCTCCTCCTTCCTGCGCGTGTGAGGTCACTGTGGACCTGTGACCTCATAGGGACCCCCGAGAATTCCCATTTCGGGGTGTGCTCGCCCCGGGAGGGTGGGGACCGGGCGGGAAGGCAGGAAATTTCCGCTCGTAGGTCCCCGGGGCAGGTCACCTGGCCAGGCTGGGTGTGTGATGACGTGGGGCGGGGGCGCTGCCGCCGCCGCCGTGACAGGTGAGTCGGACCCCGCCAGGGCCGGCCGGTGCGAGGAGGGTTGCGTTCCCCGGAGCCGCGTCCCGGCCGGCCCCTGGGCACCGCGGGGGGCGTGTGACCCCCCCCCACAGGTGCGCGCTCCCCTCCGGGCGCCGAGTGGGCACAGGGCACAGGGCACGGGGGTGGGGGGCGAGCAGGCCGGACCCCTCCGCTCTCCTCGCACCGCTGGGAGCCCCGGGAGCCGGCCCCGTCTCCCGCAAGCTCGGGATTGACCTCGGCAGCTGCGGAACACTTGCCTTCTGTTCCTTTCCCCTCCCCCCCGGCTTGTTTTCTGACAAAGACCAAATGTTATTCTTGACTTCCGTAGGGCTCCGCGTTCCCGACTCCTGGGGAAATCTCCCGATCGGCCGCTCCCAGGCCTCCCCTCCCCCGCCGCATTCCGGCGCGCCCCGGGGTGCAGCCGCTTTCCCGGGGCCGGGCCCTTCACCCTTTCAGAACCCAGGGTCTAGGCTAGGTGGGGTCGATCTTGGCCTGAACCCCGCGCCCCAGTGTCCTCTCTCCCCCAGAAGAGCAGAAAGGGGAAGTGGCCCAAGACGGCTGGTGTTGCCTGCACCCACCCTTCCGCACCCCCCCTGCCCACACTGCAGTGCCCCCCACGACTGAGGACCCTGAAGCCGCCAGCGCAGCGGACCCTACTCGCCCTTCCCAGGGCTTCTTGGGGGACCCAGTCAGGACTGCAGTTGTCTGCACCCTGATCCAGACCCCTGCACTAGTCCTGGGGGTGGGAGGGACTGCCCCACAAAGGAGAAGTTCTCTCACATCCTGTCCCTCCTGGGTGCCTCTGACCCGCACTCCCTGGTCCCCCCCCTTCCAAGGACTCTCCCACCTCCAGGTCTGCTCTGATTGGGGGTACAGAGATCAGGGATGAAGGGGCTCGGTCAGCACGCCCCAACCCCCCCCAGGACCCCTATCCAGGAGAGCAGGGTGGGAGGGGGAGAGGAGGGTCCACTCGCTTTCTGCTGCATTTCCTGTCACAAGACTCATTTCCTTGGGGGACAGACCCCAGCTTCCTGCCCGCCCTGTGTTGCGCACCTCCCTGGGGAGGGCCTTTGAAGAAACTCACCCGAGTTTGGGTGCCGGGGCTGCCTCGCGCACACGCTGGGTCCTTCTTGCAGGTTGAGCAGCACAGCAGAGCCCGGAAGTTTAATTGGCTGGTGCTTTGGTCTGGCAGGAGTACCCCTCCCTACACCCCCTGACCCCCAGTTTCAGGTTCCTGGGCCAAGGGGTGCTCACAGACCAGACCCCACTCCACTCCCAGCCCTCCCGGTGCCTGTGGCTGGCGAGCCACTGCCTTGGGTTCACCCAGAGGGAGGCCAGGGGCCTGGAAAACAGGACGCAGCCTGGTGACCTGTATCTACAATGCCCCGCTGAGCCCCCGACAACATGGTTTCTGGGCCCTGGCTGGCTGAGCATGGGGCATTGAGTATCTGTGTCTCCTGGGCCAGGCTGTCGGTGCCCTTGGTGGCTCCTCTGTTAAAAACAGGGTGAGGGTCAGAGAGATGGTTCAGTGGGCATCAGGAGTGGCCCAGTGGACATCAGAGGTGCCCACTGGACATCAGAGGTGGCCCAGTGCATATCAGTGTGGCTCAGTGGACATCATTTGGTGCCCAGTGGGTATCAGAGGTGGCCCAGGGGACATCAGTGGTGTCCACTGGATATCCGGTGGCGCAGTGCGTATCAGAGGTGGCCCAGTGCGTATCAGAGATGGCAGAGTGGACATCATTGTTGCCCAGTGGGTATCAGAGGTGGCCCATTGCATATCAGAGATGGCCCAGTGGGCATCAGTGGTGCCCAGTGGGTAATCAGAAGTGGCCCAGTGGATGTCAGGGGTGACCCAATGGACATTAGGGGTTCTCAGTGGGCCTCAGAGGTGACCCAGTGGGTATCAGGTGGCCCACTGGATATCAGAGGTACCCATTGGATGTTACAGATGGCCCAGTGGGCAACACAGGTGGTACACTGAGTAACAGGTGACCTGGTGGGCATCAGTGGTGGCCCAGTGGACATCAGGGATGGCCCAGTGGGCATTGGATGTGGCTCAGTGGCCATCAGAGGGCCAAGTGTCTAAGCACAGACTGCGTGCAGGGCCTGGGCTCCGTCCTTAGCACGGCATGGTCTGATGAGCTCACCATGATTGACTCCGGAGCACCGATCTGAGAGGAGACCCTCAGCACCATCGGGTGTTATCCCCAAGCCCAGATGAGACCAAACAAAAAGAGACTCGTGTTCCCTCAGTCCAGTGCCCGCACCCCCACCCTGCCTGTGCCCGGCCTCCTAGTGAGAGTCACTGGGACCCTTCCTCTTCACTCCCAGGATTCCCCTTTATTTGTGGATTTGAAGATATATTCAAGGCTTCCCCCTCCCCTGGAATGTACTGGATTGCAGCTCACTTGGGGAGCTCAGGTTTAATGGACCCATTTTTGTTTGGGGGCCACACCCAGCCGAGTCCCAGGCTTCTGGCTCTGTCCTCAGAGATCACTATTGGCGGTGCTTAGGGAACCATATGGGGTGGCAGGAATCGAACCCGGGTCAGCCTCATGCAAGGCAAGGACCCTCCCCGCTGTCTATCACTCCAGGCCCCTGAATTAGGGGAGAGGCGAGGCAGCGGCTCTGCCCTCCTGTCTGACTCCCCAACTCCACGACTGACTCTCTCTCTCTAGACCTGTCCCGGAACCGGTTCCCCGAGGTGCCCGAGGCAGCGTGCCAGCTGGTGTCCCTGGAGGGCCTGAGTCTGTACCACAATTGTCTGCGATGCCTGAACCCAGCCCTGGGGAACCTCACAGCCCTCACCTACCTCAACCTCAGGTAAGGTGGTCAGGAGGGGCGCGACCCATGGCCCTGGGTGCCCGGCCTGTGAGCGAGCCCAACCCGCTCCCTTTCTCCCTCCCCAGCCGAAACCAGCTCTCCTCGTTGCCCCCCTACATCTGCCAGCTGCCCCTGCGGGTGCTCATCATTAGCAACAACAAGCTGGCCCTCCTGCCCCCCGACATCAGTGCCTTAGGGAGTCTGCGGCAGCTCGTAAGGAGGGTGGCGGGCAGGCGGAGGAAACTGGGGGGCGGGGCAGGGGCCGGGGGGGCCAGCTCTGAGCTGAGGATCCCCCCTTCTGCTCCGGGTCAGGACGTGAGCAGTAATGAGCTGCAGGCGCTCCCGGCTGAGCTCTGCAGCCTCCCGGTCCTGCGGGATCTCAACGTGCGCCGGAACCAGCTGGGAGCCCTGCCGGACGGTGAGGGCCGCGGGCGCCGGGGTGGGGGTGTGTGTGTGTGTGCAGGGGTGTGGGGTCCTTCTGGCAAAGACGGTTACTGTCCCTGAGTCTCAGCCCATGGCATAAAAGGGGGCTGGCAGGTGCTGATCGCCAAGGAGAGAGGGGAGCATGGCCCAGGCAGAGGCGGTGCTCCTGGCCCCTTTGATGGGCTACGAGGCACCCCGAAATCTGGGTGCCTGCTGGGCCCTGGCTGTGCTGGGTGGTGGCTGGCTGGGTGGACCAGGTGATGTCACTCAGCTTGATTGGCTTCATGGGGTGGGTTGCTCTGTCTGGGCACCCTATCAGCAGCACTGGAGGAGGGTCTGCCCTCCCTGCCCAGATGGAGCTTGGCCCGAAGTGGGCAGGGGTGTGGGAGACAGAAGTGCTCAACCATGAGTGGCTGGGTCAGCGTTGGTCTGGAAGATGTGAGGTGACAGTTCTCTGTTATCTTGGGGCTCCTGCTCTTTTTCCCCTCTGTTGGAATTGGGGTCCACACTCACGGTTGCCTCTGGCTTAGCAAAGAGCCTGCAGAGTGCCCTGGGGTTGCAGAAAGGCAGAGGGATTGTAGTCCCCAGAGACTTCCTGGAGGAAGCCATACTAGAGCTGAGCCACTTGAAGGGGGTGTGGACAAAAAAAAGGGGACTCTCCCAGCTGGGCAGGCAATGCAGCCCAGTGGGACTTGTGGGTGCTGGGGTGAGAGGGAGGGCAGTGGGTGGGCTGGTGGGCCCAGAGCCCCGCACTCACACCCACCCCACTGTGCCCGGGAGACTGCAGCAGAGCCCCTGTTTCCTGTGGGGGTGGGGTGCAGCTGGTGCCAGCCGGGTGGCAGCCCAGCCTCACGCCCAGAGCCTGGTTTCCGGTGGGGCACTGTGTGGCAGGGACGGGGGTCATTGCGGAGGGGAGGGGAGGCAGGAGCGGGGTGCCCCGCCAGCCTGGGCCGGGTGTGCGTGTGGGGGGGCACCCCTGACTTTGTGTCCCCCGCAGAGCTTGGGGACCTCCCTCTGGTCCGCCTGGACTTCTCCTGTAACCGTGTCTCCCGTCTGCCTGTGTCCTTCTGCCGCCTGCGCCACCTGCAGGTCCTTCTGCTGGACAGTAACCCCCTGCAGAGCCCCCCTGCGCAGGTGAGGGGCCGGGCCAGGCTGGGTGGGCAGGGTGTGGGCGCCCCCCCTCCCCTGACTCCCACCCACACCTCCTCACCCTAGGTCTGCCTGAAGGGGAAGCTTCACATCTTTAAGTACTTGTCCACGGAGGCGGGGCGGCGTGGGGGGGCAGCACTGGGGGACCTGGCCCCTTCCCGACCCCCGAGTTTTAGCCCATGGTAAGTGGGGAGGAAGGTGCCTCCTGGCTGGGTTTGGGCCTGTTGGAGGGGGTGTGGTGCTGACTGTCCCGGCCATCTGCCGCAGCCCTGCCGAGGAGCTGTTCCCGGGCCGGCGGTACGACTCTGGTGGGTTGGACTCTGGCTTCCACAGCGTGGACAGTGGCAGCAAGAGGTGGTCCGGGAATGAGGTAAAGAGAAGTTTGGGGAATCTCTGAGGAGGCCCCCTGGAGCCCTCAGGGACAGGCCGGGCTGAGGAGGGGCTGGCGCTTTAAACAACCCTCAGATCCTGCCCCCCCTGGCCCAGAGAGATGCTCGCTCTCCTTCTTTGCCCCTACAGTCCGCTGATGACTTTTCGGAGCTGTCCTTCCGGATCTCGGAGCTGGCCCGGGAGCCCCGGGGGCCCAGGGGGCGGAGGGAGGACAGTGCTGGTGAGTAGGGGGCTCGGGGCTGGGACCCGAGGGGCGCCCCCCAACTGCTGGCTAAGCGGCCCTGCTGCCTGCAGCTGACGGTGACCCTGAGCAGACGGACTTCATCGACAGCCGCAGCCCTGGGGAGGATGAGGAGGCAGAGGCGGGCACTGCAGAGGTGAGGCCTGGGGGAGGGCTGGGGAGCCCCTGCCTGGGGGGCCAGGGGTGTGGGACAGGCACTGCTCAGCCCCCGCCCCCCCCCGCCTCGCTGTCTTTTAACTGCAGGAGCAAAGACCTCCCGACTCCAAGTCTGTGGCAGAGGACGGGGAGAGGATGCCAGGCAGCAGGTAACCCCGACCCCCTGCGCCTGACCCTGCCTGTCCCTGTGCCCTCTCGGCTGAGCCGCTCCCACCCCTGCCTGTAGGAGGGAGGAGCCGGCTGGGGAGGAGCGGCGGCGCCCTGACACCCTGCAGCTGTGGCAGGAGCGGGAGCGGCGGCAGCAGCAGAGCGGAGTGTGGGGGGCCCCCAAGAAGGACAGGTGCGTGGGGTGCCCTGGGCACCGGGCCCCCCTCTGAACTGCTCTGCCCCTGGTGTGACCCCCCTCATCTCCTTCACTTTTTAGTTTTCTGAAGCCCGGGACCAGACCTGTCGGCGGGGGAGCACCGGCACCCCCCACCCAGGCCATGTCCAAGTACGCGTCCCTCACACTCATCTGAGCGCCCCGCCCGGCCAGCCCCTGACTGGTCCCCGGCTTCCCCTTCTGTCTCGTTGCAGTGGCACCACCAAGTCCAATGCCACCCAACTGGGAGCATCTGGGGCACAAGGAAACCCCATGCCCGCCCCTGCCCCCCAGGAACCCTCTCCTCCAGCCGCATCAGGTAAGAGGGTCTCTGAGTAGGCGGGGCTGTGTGTGTGTGGGGGGGGAGGTCCTAGGCCCTGGGAAGGTGGATCCCTAAGGGGCTGCCTCTCTCGGCCCCGCAGCGCCAGCGCCTGCGCCCCGGCCACTCGGCTCCATTCAGAGACCAAACAGCTTCCTCTTCGGCTCCAGCTCCCAGTGCTCAGGTGCGTCCCCTCCCGCCGGCCTGCCCCTCCCAGCCGGGGAGTTGTTGGGTGTCTGTTGTTCCGTCGTGCCGAGAAGCCCGCCGTGCGGAACTCGGTGTGGGTGGTCAGACACATACGGTGCCCCCCCCCCTCCAGGCCCTTCCTCCCCAGACTCAGCCCTGAGGGCTCGGCAGGCCCCCCAGCCCGCAGGCGACAGAGGGGAGCTCATGGCTCAGCTGCGTCAGGTGAGCAGCACAGAGCGGTGGGGGGTGGGGGGGTAGGGGGGCCTCCATAGGATGCCCCCTCAGCCCCTGCTCACCCCCACCTCTCCCCACGGCCCTCCAGGTCCTCGAGTCGAGGCTGCAGCGACCCCTGCCTGAGGACATGGCCGAGGCCCTGGCCAGCGGGGTGGTCCTGTGTCAGCTAGCTAACCAGCTGCGGCCACGCTCTGTCCCCTTCATCCATGTGCCCTCGCCGGCTGTGGTCAGTGGGGGCCTGGGCGGGGGGGGGGGGTCCAGGTGCCCCTGAGGGCAGTTTCCACCTCTCAGTCTTGTCTCCTTCTCCCCCACCCCAGCCCAAACTCAGCGCCCTGAAGTCACGGAAAAACGTGGAGAGTTTCTTAGAAGCCTGTCGAAAAATGGGGGTGCCCGAGGTACGAAGGGGGGGTGCTTCCTCTGGAGCTGGCCTCCGGAGGGGCACCGCACGGGGGGCTCGGCGGGCATGCTGCATGACAGAGGCGTCCCTGGGTCCCTGCCCCCTCCCGCATGCTGCCCCCCTTCCTGCCCTCGCATGCCGGCTTGGTGTGGTGGCAGCGCGGGGGTCGTGTCGCTGCTGCTGCTGACGTTTGTCTTTGTCCCTGTCCACCTGCCCCGCTCTCCCTCCCCAGGCGGACCTGTGCTCGCCCTTGGATCTCCTCCAGGGCACCGCCCTGGGGCTGTGGACCACCCTGGAGGCCGTGAGGCGGGCGGGGGGCAGGGTGCCCCCACCCCTGCAGGCCCCTTCTGGTCTGGGTGGCTTCGTCGTCTTCTACATGGCCCTCATGCTGCTGTTCTATGTCGTCTACACTCGGCTCCTGGCTTCCTAGGACCTGAAGTCACCCCCTCCCCGGCCTCTCCCGGTCTCTTATTTATAAGACTCCAGCACCCGCCCGTGCCCCACCCGCACCCGCGGGGCCTTCACCCCGACCAAAGACACTAGTGAGCCCCTCACACACACACGCACACACACACACACACACACACACTGACCTCAGAGGCCCCCCCCATGGTGCCCCCAGCCTCTGGCCCCTTCCTGTAACCCCACACGCCTGCCCCTCAGTGCTGAGGTGCCTTCACGCCCCGCCCCTCCCCCTGCTGCTCGGGGGGCTAAATTATCTATATTTTGTAGAGAGAACTCTATATTTGTAGGGCTCCGCCGGGGCCCGCCCGCCGCTCTCTTGTATAAATTGTACAGACGCCTCAACCTCGCCTGTGCCCGTCTGTGTCTGTGTGTGGGTCTGTGTGCGCGTGCGCTCCGTGCATGTGTCTGCGTGTCTGCGTCTGAGTGTCTGTGTGCGTGTGTCTGCCCGTCTGTGTCCCGCCTGCCCGCCCCTCCCGCGGGCTGGACCCCCAGCCTGCCCGCCCTGCCGCCGCCGCCCCCCCGGGAAATGACAGGTCTGTGCCGCACCGGCATCCCGTTATCTGCCCACAGCTCCTCGCAGCTGCGCCACCGCGCTGAGCAGCCCCGACCCCCTTTATCCAGGCTCCTTTAGGGACACGGTGCGGGGGGGGGGGGGCTGGGGACCCTAACCCGGCGCCTCCCCCCAGGAGTCCCTCTGCCAGCCCCACCACATCCTGGAAGAGGAGGGGGCCCCGGGAAGGGGTCTCCCCCACATCGCTGCTGTCGTCCGGGCGCTGCTGGAACGGCCCTAAGGGGCTGAGGCTGGGCCACGGGCTCCCCCGGCACGGCCCCAGGGGCGGAGAAGAAACGCGGCTTCCGCTCGGCAAGGGCTGGGGAGGGCGGCCTTGGCCAGGCCCTGCACGGGCGCCCGGGCCAGGCGTTGTGTCACGTGCAATAAAGAGAAGGCCGGACCCCCAGGTTGCCCCGACGTGTGTCTGTGCGTGTGCGTGCGCGGCTGGGGGTGGTCTCGGCGGGTGTTGCCCCGCGCCCGCGCCCCGTCGGCAGGGGGCGCCCGCGGGAACGCGCGCCACGTGGACCGGAAACGCGCCCGGGGCGTCGCGGCGAGGCCTGCGAGCCGGGTGGGCGCGCGTTGCGGGCGTCCCCCGACCCCCGCAGCATGCAGCCTTGGCCCCCGCGGTCGCGAAGCCCCAGGGACCCGCCAGCGCTCGAGGAAGCGGCCCCGTTGGCCGGCGCCGGAGTGCATGAAGCCTGGAGTGCTGGAGAGGCGGCCGGGGAGGAGCCAGCGGGAGCCCCGCGGGCCAGGTGACCCGCTGGGCCCGGCCTGGGGGGGCGGGGCCGGGCACCCAGCAGGCACCCCTGGGGTGAGCGGCATGGGTATGAGGTGCCACGGCCCCTCCCCCGGGCTTCCTACTTGGAAATACCCCATGGGCGGCCAGCAGGATACCAAGGGTCCCGGCTGGAGCATTTCAGCGGCCCCCTCCCCGCTGCAGCCCACAGACCCGGGCCCGAATCCCTTGGTGGACTCCGAGAGAGCTGCGGCCCCCAGACCCGGCCGCTGAACTGACTTGGGGAACCCCGGAAGCCCCAGGTAGGTGCCGGGCCTCACTGCTCAGGGTGCCCACAGCTCGTGAACTGCTTTCATGGAAGTATCTACCACCCCCTTTCGTCCCCGCAGTTCCCGTTGCCCCGCAGAGGGCCTGGGAGGTCAGGCCGGCCAGGATGACGCTGCTCGCTCCCTGGGACCCCAACTACGAGGTGATGTGGGTGAGTTGGGGGTGCCCTGCGGGATGGGGGCGGGGACCCTGGGCGGGACCGCGGGCCGACCGCTTCTGCTGCCCCCGTAGGGCCCTGGATGCTCGTCTGGCGCCTCCTTCTCCAGCCGCACCCTGTACCACCCCTCCTTCTGGCCCCTGTACCAGGCTGCGGCCAGCCGGGCCCAGCAGGAGCCCCTGAGTGAGGCCAGCGCCCCCGGGGGCGTCCCGGTGCTCTGCTGCGAAGATGTCTTCCTGTCGGATCCGCTGCTGCCCCGGGGGCAGCGCGTTCCCCTGTACCTGTCGGAGCCCCCCGGGCAGGTGAGTGAGCGCCCCCCCCCTTCCTGCGTGCCGCTGCGGGACGGGGAGACAGCACGGCCGTCTCTCGGCAGGTCAAGGGCTCCCTGAAGCTGCTGCTGCCGCCCCCCATCATGGCCCCCTGGGTCCTGCCCAGCCGCCCGCGGGGCTGCCCGGGGGCCTGGCTCAGCGGGGCTGAGCTCATTGCCCTCACCGGCCTCCTGCAGATGAGCCAGGGGCCGCCCAGACCCGGCCCGTCAGGGGCCACAGAGGACGCCCCAGACCCCGCAGAGGACACCTCCAGGCCCAATGGCGGCCAGAGCTGCGCTCGGGGCGCTGCCCCCTCCCTGCCCCCTGATCCCTAGCCCCTGCCCTTGGCAAATTTGGTTTCTGTGGACAATAAAACTTAGTGTTGGTTTGCAAACTGGCGCCTGCTGTGGGCATGGGAGGGGCCGGTGGTACCTACAAGCAGGGCCCGCAGGTTCCCTCAGTCGCGCACACAGGCATGGGACACGGGCAGGCTGGTCAGCAGAGCACCTTTAATGGGGGTCTTCGGTACCGGTCCCCAGCTGTGTCCGGGGAGCCGGGAGCCATCAGCTGGGTTGGCAGGGACGTCACCGGGACCGCAGGGACGCTCATCCCAGTGCAGCCCTGGGAGGATGGAGGCTCGGGCTGCTCTTTGGATCCTGGCGCTGCGGAGACAGGGCGTGGGGGAGGGGGCTCAGTCCGCCTGGGTTTTGACTGGCGTTCGGGGAGTGTTCTAGAACTTTCAAAGAATCTAACCTCCTCGGGCCAAGCCATAGTACAGAGGGGAGGGAGAGCACTTCCTTGGCACGAGGCCCACCCAGGTTCCACCCCGGGCACCCTGCAAGGCCCCCTGAGCCCGCCAGGAGTGATCCCTGAGCGCAGGGTCAGGAGACAGGTCGCTGCGGCACTAAGGGGTATGGCCACCGCCCCCCCCCCCAATTTTAACCTCCAACCGCCGCTCCACCCCGGGGGGCGGGGAGGAGCGGGGAGGGGCTGGAAGAGGGTCACGTGACCAGGAGGCCCGCCGGCAAAGGGCTTCCCGGGAACAGATGCGGAGGTGACTGGAAGGGGAGGCTTCCACGCGGACGTCCACCCCTCGGGGGGCCAGCCAGGCCCGGGGCGCCTCACCTCCGCTTCAGCCGCGAGGGCGCGCAGGTTCTGGAACTCGATGCGCGCGTAGCTGTGGGGGCTGGGCGAGCCTCCGGGGCCGCCCGCCCGCACCGCGTCCAGCGGCGGGATCAGCTCCAGGTCGATGTAGTTGAGGCGGCCGTCGGGGGCGCCTCCCCGGGTGCCGGCGGCCGCGTACTCGATGCACACGTACTCGCCGGCCAGCTCCCCCGAAGCCCCGCAGCTGGCGGGGCGGGACGGGGAGGCGGCCGGGGGGGACAGCGGGCCGCGGCACATGGACACGTACTCGGTGCCCGCACACTCCTGCCCGGGGCGCGCCATCACCATGTAGCCGCCTGCCTCGCCGCCCCCCATGAGCTCGTAGTCCCGCCCGGCCTCCATACGGATGTAGCCCCCTGCCCGCTTCAGCCCGTCGGGGTCCGAGGCCGCCGTCCCGGGCCCCGCCAGCGTCGCGAGGGCCGCGGGCTCGCCCCACTCACCCGGGTGCGCCCGGCGGCTCAGGCCGCTGGACGGGGCGGACGCCAGCGACTCATACGCGGGGGGCGCGGAGGGTCTGGAGGCGCTCGCCGGGGGGTCGGACCGGCCACAGGCGCCCCCGTCCCCCAGACGCTTCATGGCGGCCAGGACGGTCTCGTGGATGCTCTGGGCCACCGCGGCGTCCGGCGCCTGCAGCCACAGCTCCCCGGGGCCCGTGGGCGCCGAGCGGCCGAGCTCCAGGAAGAAGAACGAGTCGGCGTGGCCGCAGCGGCGCACGCTGAGCAGAGACAGGCGCAGGGCGGGCTGCGGCGAGGCCTGGGCATCCTGGGAGCCCCTTCTCCGGGGCTTCCGCTGCAGGCTCAGGACCCCTGAGCCCAGGCACAGCCGGTAGCCGCCGCTGCCCAGCCCTCGGGCCCGCCCCAGCCCCTTGGGCCGCAGCGTCACGGGCCAGACGTCCTGAAACGGAGCGAGGAGCCAGGTCTCGGGGTCCTCGTGGGAACTGGGACCTGTAGAGACAACGGGCGGGGTCACGGGGGCCCGGAGCGCTGGGGACTCCAGGTCGGAGTCCCCGTGTCCCCCGACCTGAAGCGGTTCGGAAACGCTTCAAGGCGCCACTTGGTTGCGTGGACGGATGAGCCCAAGGTCACCCTGCCCCGCGTCCCGGGCCCCGCGCGGGTCTCACCGGCGGCGGCGCGCACCTCGAGCAGGGCGCTGTACCACGCCAGCTGCTCCGCCTCGCTGGCCGCCGCCACGCCCAGGCTGCGGTCGCGCGTGTACAGGACGATCAGGTGGCGCTGGCGCTCGTCTACGCGCTTGCTGATGGTGCACGCGCCCGCCAGGCTCACGCTGAGCTTGGGCGGCGCGCGCCCGCCGCGGAACTTCTTCTCGCTCTCGAAACAGTCCAGGCGCGGCGGGTCCGCCCGCAGCACGAAGAAGCGGCGGCGCTGGGACTTCTGCTTGCGCAGGTGGCCGCACAGACGCACGGCCGCGGCGACCGGCCCGGGTGGCGGCGGGCCCGGGGGCACCTGGCCCCACTCGGGGCCGTAGTCTCCGGGCTTCATCTCCGGACCCCGAGAGTCCAGGGGCCGAGGGAGGGGCGGGGACGGCCGGGGGCCGGGGCGGCGGAGGTCGCGGGGGACGTGGTGTTCCCCGGGAAGAGAAAGCACCACCTGGTCAGCCGCGCTCATTCTTGATGCCCCCCCGGAGTGTCTCCCCCTGCTCCCCAGTGAAAGCTGACTCCAGGGCTCCGCAATGGCCCCGGGCCTCACCCTGAGGGTGGCCCTGGTGGCGGCCCGGAGGCTCGCTGGGCCAGAGCTGGACCCGGCGGGTCCCCTGGCCTTCTCTGCCGGCCGTTCCGCAGTCCCCACCCCCGCGAAGTTAACCCTCGCGCGCCCCGGGCGGCCGCAGGACCGTGGGAGCCCAGTGGAGCTGGCAGCCCGCGGGCGGCTCCTCCCCACCCCCTGGGACAGTCCGGCAGGAGGGTGCGGGGAGGGAGGCCGTCTCTAGGGCGACTGCAGAGAAAGGGACCAGGAGATGAATGCCGCTTCCCCAACTGCCTGCTGGGACCCTGGGTGCCCCTTCCCAGCCAGAAGGGACCCTCTGAGCCCAGGGAGGTCCAGGAGCCGCAGCCCCGGCCAGCACTGATTTAGGAACTGGAGCTAAGCAGTGGGTACCTGGGGAGAAGCAAACTTCCCGTTGGTCCCGGGACCCTAGTCAAGTGACCCCTGAAGAAACCATCTCCAGGGTACTGCCCTTCACGCCCCCTGAACCTCCCCCTCCCCTCCCCAAAGCTACTACCAGGACTAGTGGTGCTGATCAGGGCTGGGGGGGGGGCATGGCCTGACCCTGTACCCTGAGATGGGACCGGGCATCAGTGCAGTGGTTTGGCACCCTATTTTTCTTGTTCTGGGGGCCACACCCAGCGGTGCTTAGGGCTGACTCCTGGCTCTGCACTCACAGATCACTCCTGATGGGCTCAGGGGACTATATGGGATGGGGGGGGGGGGGTCGAGCTCTGTGCAAGGCAAGCATTCTATCCATTGGACCATCACTCTAGCTCCAAGGACACCCCATTTCTGATCTCTGCAGGAACCGATACTGGGTGTGTGTGTGTGTGTGTGGTAATGCCACCAGCACTTGGCAAGACAGAGCCACTGACACTTGGATAGGTCCTTGGGGGACAGGCCACAACTGGCTGCAAGAAGTGCTGGAGGGGGGGTGGGGGCGCTGCGGAGGGATTTTTGGAGAGAAACGGGCCAGGAGAGGAATGAGTCAGGCTGACGCCAGGGCAGCCGCTGGACAGCGGGGTGCGCTCTTAGGCTTCTCTGGATGGGAGTGGCTCAGTGTGCCCCTGGACCCAGAGATGCTGCAGGGTGTGGGGGGGGGGTGCCTGCAAATGCCCGTGGAGGTGGGAGGGAGGGGCTGGCAGCTCAGGTGCTGCTCTTAAGCTAGCGCCAGCCACTGTCACTGGTGCGAGCAGGAGGCAGCCCCTGCCCCACTGGTACCAGCCACAGCCCCCAGGGTGGCCTTGATAATCCAGTTTGCTAAGTGGCAAGCAGCAAAGATGCCTGCGGGCCCCTTCCCTTCAGAGATGGAGGAGGCAGCGAGAACCCAGGGCCTGGCGGGCCGGTAATCGATGCCAGGTGATTTAGCCCATTGGATACTGGGGAAAGCCTGGAGCCAAGCATGGGCAATCAGTTGTCCTAGCAACGACACTGCTCTTGACCTTACCCAGGCAAGATCTAGTTGGGTCTGTTGCCCTGGTAACTCGGTTCCCCTTCAGAAACAGGAAGTGGCAGAACCTCAACTCTGCTGGGTTCTCACCTTCCCCAGCCTGGGGGCCCCACGCGGGCTCTCTGCACCCTAAGTCCCTGGGGTTACCTATTACCCCGAATAGCCCACAGGGGACGGCTGGGGCCAGGTGGTTCCTGGGTGCCCCACTTCCCAGTGTGCATGTTCACGCATGTGTGGGACAGGGTGCAGCGGGAGTGTGTGTGTATGTGTGTGGGGGAGGTGCAATGGGAGTGTGTGGGGGAAGGGGTGCAGTTGTAAGGGGTGCATTGGAGTGTGAGGGAGTCAGTACAGCCGGTGTAGTTGTGTGTGAGGGGTGCAGTGGAGTGAGGGGGTATAGTGTGAGGGGTACAGTGGAGTGTGTGAGAGTGTGTAGTTGTGTGTGAGGGGTGCAATGGAGTGTGAGTGGGAGCAGGGGAGTGTGCAAGCCTGGGAGAGGTGCAGTGAGTACAGATGCATGAAGGGGTGTGTGACGGGGTGCAGCTGCCGTGTTGTACATTTTCACTCCCATCTCTACCTTCTCATGGGGGCAGCTGTCTGCACCCACCCTTTCCTCTCTGGGTGCCGCTGGCTCAGGCACAGAGCGCAGGGAGGCGGAGCTGTTCCCTGCCGAGGGACACACAGTAGCGCTGGGAACTCATGATTTTTCTGCCCGGGGATCTGAGTTGACCCAGCGTGACTTCAGACTGGCCTCCGGGCCCGGCCAGTGAGCTGGCCGGACGCCATGTCGGCCAGAGAGACCGAGGCTGGGCGCTGCGGGAGGCTCTGGCGCAGTGGCCACAGCTCGCTGGGAAACGGCGGGCAGCCAGCAGCGCTCAGCTCTGCTGCCTCCCTCACCATTGGCTTCCACCTCACCTGGGGGGTCTTTCAGAGATGGGGAGGGATGGAATGCAGGGGAAAGATGAGGACCCTCCTTCACCAGATTTCAGAGCCCGTTCTCTGGGCTGCAAAGCAGAAGCCAGGAGGGAGGACAGAGGTCACCAGAGAAATACACTGGGAGAAGGCAGAAGTCACAGCCAAGCCCTTGCCTTCCCGGCAGGAGACGGAGGGCAGACGCTGGACGGACAAGCTGGGAACCAAGCCTCAGGAAAGGTGGAGGGCACCCGGGGCTGGGCAGAAACCGCAGCTGGAGGTATTTCCAGAAAAATCCAGTGAGAGCCGAGTGCCCAGCTGTCCTCCTGGGGGGCTGTTAAAGGACCCCGTGGAAGCCCATGACTAAGCAGCTAAGGGACTGGGGATTTCTGGGCCTGAGTGGAATTGGCGGGGGGGGGGGGGTCCCCTCCCACAGCCAGCTGAGCATGGCCTCTACCCAGCCACGTGAGGTGTTTAACCCAAGCCACGGTCTTGTCACCACACAAACAGCCCAGACACCGGGGCTGTTGGCAAAACACCCTGAGGCGGCGTCTGTGCCACTCTCTTGCCACTTCCTGCCACACTGGGTGCGGCTGACACTGAGCAGGGGGGCTGGAGGGGCGGGGCTCGTGCTCAGGGGACCCAAGAGAAAAAAACACAGGAGTCAACGTCTCTCAGTGCATTTCTTCCGACACTGCAGCCGCAGCTTTGGTGCGAGATGAGGATGGGGGAGTTTGTGGGAGGGACACAGCAGCCAATCACACAAAGCCTTTCCCCGGGCGGGGTCTGGGGACCACCCTCAGCCCAACCCCGGAGCTCTGGGCTTTGTGGGGTTGAGGCACAGAGAGGGAGTCATTTGGGTCCATGGGAAAGCGGTGTGTGCATAGATTTCTCTGTGAGTGTGTGTGTGTGTGTGTATATGTGTGTGTGTATATATATATATATATATATATATATAATAGGCTATATTAGAAAACTCTCGAGTATAAATATAAAACACTGGTACCCAAAGGCTACCGTGCTAACTAAAGTGCTGGACCGGGAGGTGGGCGAGTCTACGCAAGAGGGTCCAGGAGGGGTCCTGAGGGGAGCAATCACAGGGGCCTCCGTGCCTGGGGGCGGGGAGCAGAAGGTGAGCTGGCGGGGCTGGGGTGGCGGGTGCGAGGGCACAGTGTGGCCAGTGCTCCTCAGGCCACGGCAACGCCCGCTTCTGTCCACCTCTCCCCTATTTTCCCCCGCAGGGCTCATGAGGAGAGAGGACGCAGGGAGGCCAGGCGGGGCACGAGTGATTCCTCTGGGGAGCACAGTTAGCTGGGCGCTGAGGCTCCTCCACACACAGGGCTGGGGGGTGGGGAAGGGGGCCCGATACCCTAAGGACTGAGAAATAAGACAGTAGCAGGAGGTCTGGCCCTGCCCCCTGTGGCGCCCTAGCCTGGCTGGTGTGGGGGGAGGAGGCACCCCACTGCCAGGAGTTCAAGCAAAGCATTAGCACCTCCACCATCCCCAAGCCCCCTCCCTGCAAAACGAGGCCCGTTCTGGTCTCCGAGCCACAGCAATGCCACAAGCAAGTGGTGACCAGAGCTTGAGGGGGCTGAGGGGGCCCAGAGGGCAGGACGAGACCCCCCAGGACACAGTGCTACAAGAAGGGGTTGGTGGTGGAAGGTTTGGAGGCAAACGGGCTTGAGGAGGATCCAGTCTGAAAAGAAATAACGACCAGCTGTTAGACGAGTCAGGGGCTGAGGCCAGAGGTGGATGGAGGGGAGCAGATGACAATGCAGGGAAGGGTAAGGTGAGGAAGGGGCGTGGGCCCCACCCACAAGGTCTTTTCTTTTTTGCTTTTTGGGTCACACCCAGGGATGCACAGGGGTTACTCCTGGCTCTGCACTCAGGAGTTACTCCTGGTGGTGCTCAAGGGGACCATATGGGATGTTGGGAATTGAACCCGCATCGGCCTTGAGCAAGGCAAACGCCCTTCCCGCTGTGCCATCGCTCCAGCCCCCACCACCCACAGGGTGTTCTCCAGGGCCAGGACCCCCCTTCCAAGGCCACGCCCACACCCCCGGGGCTCACCATGAAGGGGTTGGTGGAGACACCAGCCGGCTGGCTCAGCGGCCTCTGGCCCAGCTTGGCTGAGCCTAAGTCTCCGAAGGCCGCGCCTGGGAAGCGAGAGGAACCTCAGCCAGGCGGCACCGAGTCCCAGCACCCGCAGGCCGCGCGCTCCCGGGCTCCCCCTACTGGCAGGGAATGGGGCCGGAGCGGGAAAGGCGCTTACCATTCTGCTGCGGGGCAAACAGCGGCGCGGGGCAGGTGCCGGCAAAGACCCCCGTGGGTGGCGCCGCCTGGGGGAAGCCGGGACCGGCGCTGCTCACCCCAAAGCCAGGCCCTGTGGAGGGACATGGGGCTCAGGGAAAGGTCCAGAAGCGCAGGGGACCGGGATTTCCGGAGACCCCGGCTCTGGCCGCCCC